CACCAGCAAGTTCACTCTGGGGACAGAACATTCATCTGCTCCAAGCGTGGGAAAGGATTCACTCGGTCATCCACCCTGCTGAAACACCAGTGACTGCACACTGGAGAGAGACCATTCGTCTGTCAGAAGCGTGGGGAAGGATTCACTGATTCATCCAACCTGGTCAGACACAGCGAGTCCACACTGAGGAGAGACCGTTCACTTGCTTTGAGAGTGGGAAGGGATTCATTCGATCCTCTAACCTGCAGACACACCAGCGTGTCCACACTGGGGAGAAACAGTTTACCTGCTTTGTGTGTGATAAGGGATATGCTGATTTATCAAGTCTGCTGATACACAAGCAGATTCACACCGGGCAGAGACCTTTTACTGCCATGACTGTGGGAAGTGCTTTAAATTCTCCAGGGATGTGATGCACCATCAGCGGGTTCACACTGATGAGAGACCTTTTAAGTGCCCAGACTGTGGGAAATGCTACAAAGGTTCTGGTGAATTGATTCGCCATCAACATATACACACTGATGAGAGGCCATTCAACTGCTCTCATTGTGGAACTGGGTTCAGGACATCATCTGAACTCAGTGTACACTGCCGGGTTCACACTGGGGAGAGGCCGTATTCCTGCTCCGAGTGTGGGAAGGCATTTGCAATGTCATCTACCCTTGTGAAACACCGGCGGGTTCACACTGGGGAGAGGCCATTCACCTGCTCCGAGTGTGGAAAGCAATACATTCAGTTAGCCAACCTGCTGACACACCAGCGAGTTCACACTGGAGTGAAATCATTCACCTGCTCTGACTGTGGGAGGGAATTCACTCAGTTATTCAACCTGATTTGACACCAGCAACTCCACAAATAACTCCAGTGATTGGGTTTTGCTTTGAATGATATCAATTCGAAATGCCTTCAATGAGCTGTGAGGAACAGATAAATAAATAGTGTTTGCTGCTAAATATGAACGAGATTAATTCAACTATGGGAAATTTTGTCCTCCTGAAGTCTTTAACAAGATTTTTTTATGAACTTGTGCTGCTTGTCACAAACAGCAGAAAAGAATATGGTGATGGATGTGAAAACCATTGGGGTTTTCCTATGCAGGTTGAAATCCTGCTGCCCATATTTCTGAAGACACATAAATAAGAAAAGGTTGGTTAAAGGAGGAGCAGGACCAATTTGGGACCTCAGAAGTGAGGGACATTATGTACTGAATAAATACTTTACATGTGTCTCTAACAAGGAAACAGAAATTCCCCAGGCCATGGTAACACAGGAGGAAACTCAGTCAGGAGAAGGCTTGGACATTGATGTGGGGGAGATTTTGGAGAAGCTGTCAGTATTTCAAATTCATAAAGTCTCAGGATCAGATGAGATACATTTAAGGTACTGAAAGAAGTGAGAGTGGACTTTGCAGGGACACTGGCCAGAATTATTCAGCATTGGGTGGCACGGTGGCTCAGTGGTTAGCACTGCTGCCTCACAGCGCCAGGGACCTGGGTTCAATTCCACCCTCGGGCGACTGTCTGTGTGGAGTTTGCATGTTCTCCCCGTGTCTGTGTGGGTTTCCTCCGGGTGCTCTGGTTTCCTCTCACAGTCCAAAGATGTGCAGGTTAGATGGATTGGCCATGCTAAATTACCCATAGTGTTCAGGGATGTATAGATTAGGGGGATGGGTCTGGGTGGGATGCTCTGAGTGTCAGTGTGGACTTGTTGGGCCAAAGGGCCTGTTTCCACATTGTAGGGATTCTACGATAAGATTCCTTAGACTCAAAGCTAGCGCCAGAGTTCTGGAGAATTACTCAGTCAACACACCCCGAGATGCACCAGCAAGTTCACACTTGGGAGAGGCCATTCACCTGCTTCCAGTGCAGTAAAGGAATCACTCAGAAAAATGATCTTCTGAGGCACCAGCAACTTCACACTGGGGAGAGACCGTTCACCTTCTCAGAATGTGGGAAGGGATTCATTTGATTATTCAGACTGTGGAAACATCAGCGAGTTCACACTGGGGAGAGTCCCTACACCAGCACTGAGTCCAGGAAAGGAGGAGTTCCAATATCCAACCTGCCAAGAGGTCACATTCACACTGGAGAGAGTGCCCTTGGCTGCACCGAGTGAGAGAAGGGATTCCCTTGGTTGTCTAACCCCTTGACAGGCCGGTGTGTCGACACTGATTAGAGACCTTGGTAATGTCTGGACAGTCAGAACTGTTAATGCTCCTCTGAACTGATTCAGCAACAGCCTGCTCACACTGACAGTCATGATGTCATACAGCACAGAAACCAATCCTTAGGTCCAACTCGTTCATGCCTGCTGAACTAAATTAGTCCCATCTGCCTGTGTTTGGCTCATATCCCTCTAAACCTTTCCTACTCATATACCTTTCCAAGAACAGCCCAGTAACTGGTTGAAATTTAATATTCTGGATAACAGTGATGATTTGAGGGGCTGCAATGTCACTTTTTAAGGCTCAACCTGAAATCTCTTCCCTTGATTCAAAAAATCTCAGAAACTTGTTCACAGTAAAATTATGAACTTTTACTTCGATTGCAAAGTGACATTTGGTGGCAGATCGACAATTCAGTGTCTGAAAGCCTGCACTGATGAACATCTCCATTAAGAAAGTGCTGATTAATCCTCACTGACAATTCTCACTGATTTGCACATTCTTGACTGTGACACATCAATTATGGAATGAAATTTTGAAGAAGCATGAAACTGAAGACGGAAGTACATTACAGACACATCAATGAAAAACTTCATGATGGGGAGCCTCAACGCCGGTTTCAGTCTGTTTTTTAATCTCACATTCTAAGAAATCTCCCCAATTTGGCTTCTCTGACACTACCCTGTCTCTAAACCCTTCTCTGGGCTGCAGGCTAAGCAGCCTATCTCTCTGCATCAGACTTTTGTAGATCCCCACCAATCCTCTGTGATCCATACACTCATATAACAAAGCGGGGAAGTCCCCTTGGGTTTCTCGTACATAGTGAAATTGTCATTACTACCGAAAATGACCATTTTTTGTCGGTTGAGCAGAATCCTATCGTCACACACCACCACACCCTGGGTATCTGGGCTTCCCATGTGACCGTGCAATACAACCACTACACCGGTAAATTAGAGGTGGAGGAGAATATACTGATTTCAATCCATCTGGTCACTTATAAATTTCCTTGAGGTGCGCTATCTAAAAAAAAATCAAGCATTGTTTCTGTGAGTATCATGGTTTAGTCTCCGAGACCCCTTGTCATTTTAGTAACCAAAAATTTTAAAGTTTAAATCCCCATTAAATTTTAGAATCTGAATACCATCACCCATCTTACAACTTCACACTAGGGAGAGACTGTTCACCTGCTCAGAATGTGGGAAGGGATTCACATCAGTGCCATCACTTCACAGCACTCATGCTCTCTTCTGGATCAGAAGCGAGATGCCAGTGGAGTGGGCTAGTTTGATAGCAGTGCCCCTGTCCTTTCCTTTACTGTCCTCCTCCTCCCTGAGTAAATTTATTGAGATGAATAAGGGGGAGGTGTCTCTCTCTCTTTCTCTGTCCCTGTTCAGGTACGGAGAGGAACTCTGAGGGGGGTAGGCAGTGTGCCCTGTCAGTTGGAGGAAGAGGAGTATCCACTGGTTCAATTCTCAGGTTGTCTTTAGCCCGAGTCTCTCACTCAAGAGCATCAATCTGTACGTGGGCTGAGTGACAATGTACGGGCTGCCCTTTGAACAATTTGAGCTGATTTATATGATGCCACCCCTGTTTGCCTGTTCCCAGCTGTAATTTGCAGACCGAAGGATACAATTTTAGAATGATCACGTAAGGCCCAGCGCACCATGTGGACGGAAAGGTTCTGGTTGGAACATTCTGAGCAACACTGTGCCCCCTACTTTATAGTCCACGGAGTTCATGTGCTTGTCTCACAGAAACTTTTGAGTTTGTCCTAGCTTCCCTATATGCTGCCACAATATTGGCCCTTAAATCCTCCTTAGGCTCAGGAGGTTAAACCTCATCTGTCTGTCTGTCACTTTGTGCCAAGTCATCCCAGTGTGTGCTCCTTCCCTGGCCAGAACATTTGTGCTTTTATTTTGGGTGGAGTGGCCTTAATTTTCTCTGGAATGTTTTTGCCACCTATTGCTGCTTTGAAAATGCTGTGTGAAAAGATCACTGCCTTTTCCCAAAAACCCCGCTTGTTCTTCCAGAAAGGCTGAAGCTGCCAATTCCATAAGTTGTGCCCCCACATTTGCAGGTAGTTTGTCTGCCCCCTCTCTCATAGCCCCCTATGGGTCTTGCATATGAACCACAAACCCTGTAAACCATTCGCCCCCTATTACATAAGGGGTGCCGTCAATAAATTTTTTTGGAATTTCCCTGTCAATATCACAAATCTCCCTGTCAATATCACTCTCCCCTTTCAATTTTGGTTTAAAAAGACCTGTTAGTGTTCTTGGTACAAAATCTGACCATTCATGGGGCCAGAGGGCGGACGGAATCTGGGTTCCCAGATTCTGGATTAACTATGTTCATGAGCGCTTGCCTGTCTGGCCTTTCTTGGGGCAGAGAGGTGCAATATCTTCCTGTGGGCTGGGAGCCCCACTGAGGACACTCACAGGCAAAGTGCCCAACCTGGCCACGTACAAAGCAGCAATTTCCACCTCGACCAGTCCATTGTTCTGCGTAGCCCAGAGCTGCTTGGGATGGAGCCCTTCCTCTGTCCTACCCCTCATTCCTCTAGGCCATGGGGACCACTTGTGGAGCTACTTTTTGTTTTGATGTCTTCTGCATTTCCTTTCCCATCTCTAACTCCCTGACTCTGTACTTAGCGTGTTTTACTCTAGGTCACTGACTCAATCTCTGGCTCCTTGCCAAGATATGGGTCCCTGATTCTGTACCCAACTTATTTTACTGAGTCCCAAGTAGCCTTACAGTTCTTAAGTGTCTACGCACACACACTAGTTTAAAATCTGCTTTGGGAGTGCAAGATGTTAAAAAAAGTGTACACTACCCCGATTAGAGCTGGTTGAACTGGAGTTGAGGATGTTCTTCCTGCTCCCAAGGTTCCTGCTTCTTCGTCCTGATGTTCTGTGAAGTGTGTGAGAGACCCCTCTGATTTGAGTGGCTTCTTTTAATGAGTTATCTGAGTCATTTCCGAGTACAGTGGCTTAGCAGTAGTTTGATGTAACAGGAAGTGTGTTATAAAAGACGGTATTGGATGCTGTAATTTTCCTGCTTGATGGAACCAACCCTAGGAGCCAAGGTGTCTCAAAAACAATTCTATTAAAGTTTAGATCTATTGTTCCACACAAAAGCTTGCAGCAGTGTCTCATCAACAACCCATTCAATCGTCAAAGTGAATGGTTTGTATATCTGTCTGGCTTCATCCAATTCCCAACATACTGTTCAGTTGGCCAGTTTTCCCAGCATGCCATTCAGCTGGCTAGTATTGCTTTCAATGTCCCAAAACAGCTGATATTTTATTTAGAAGGGACATTCCACTACCTACACTTCTCCCCAGTGCAATTGCGCCGATGGATATCCAACTCAGGCAGGGATTTGAATCCTTCATCACAATCTCCACATTTCCCGGTCACTCCCTAGTGTGACTGCACTTGTGTTTCAACGAACCAGAAAACTGGCTGGAGGCTTGTCCACACACAAAACATGTGCAGGGCTTCTCGTCACAGTGAACTGTGCTCATTCCTGTCATGTTTAACATCCAATTACATTTTGGTTGTGATAAACTGAATGCCTCCATTGATCCGAGGTGCTGCTGGATTTGTGATCCCTAACCGTAATTCCTCATCCTCTGGCAACCTCTGAAACAGAAAAAAAACAGAGTGAGAGAACACCCAAAAAAACACAAAGGCAGACTGTGACATTGAGCTGTATGAATGCGGCAATTTGTTTGGCCAGCCATGAGAGAAATTCACCATGAAGCCTGTCAAAATGTCCTAAAAACTGAATGCTCACAAATATCCATCATGAAAGGAATCTGCCATCCCAGTATGAACATGCACAAGACTCTGGCCTCTGAGGTAAACAAGAGAAATTGTACGTATTTACAGCTTGACCAGAACTTGTACAGAATCTCCCAAAGTCTCAACCTTCACCATCAAGGAGGACCAGGGTAGGTGATGTGTGTGGACACCATCACCTGCCAGTCAGTTTATCTATACACCTCATAATTTTATAAGCCTCCATGAGGTCAACTCTCGATCTCCTACGCTCCAGTGAAAAAAGTCGCAGCCTTTCCTCATAACTCAAACCAGTCATTCCTGGCAACATCCTGGCAAATCTCTTCTGAACCCTTTCCAGCTTAATAATATCCTTCCTATAACAGGGAGACCAGAACTGGACACAGTACTCCAGAAGGGGCCTCACCAATATCCTGTACAACCTCAACTCATATACTCAAAGGTCTGAGCAATGAGGGCAAGTGTCCTAACCACCTTCTGAATCACCCTATCTGTATGTGATGCAAACTTTAAAGAATTACGTACCTGAATCCCTTGGACTCTCTGTTCTACAACACTACCCAAAGCCCTATTTTTAATTGTAAAAGTCTTGCCTTTGTTTGTTTTACCAAAACGTTCAAGCTGAGATTATGGCACATCATAGGAACTAAAAACAAAAAAAGAAATTGCTGGAAAAAATTGGTAGGAATGGCAGCATCTGTGAAGAAAAATCAGAGTTAACATTTCAGATCCGGTGACCTGTCTTCAGAACTCACGGTAGCAGGGTAAAGGTTTGTATTTATGCAGGAGATGAGGTGGTGAGTAAACAATAGGCGGAGATAGAGCTCAAAGAGAGAGAACAACAGTTGGATAGACAATGGTGTGAGATAAGGTCACTCTGGGAGAATGATTAGTTGAATGTGGACTACAAATGGCTGACAATGGATTGTGTGCGGTAGCAGTCCATGTGATGGTAAGGCCTGGTGTATGAGGCTCGGAGAAAGGACATGGGAGAAGGTGCTCAAGCCCTAAAATGGCTGAACTCGAGTTGGAGCCCAGAACACTGTAGAGTTCCCAAGTGGAAACTGAGATGTTGCTTTTCCAGCTTGCGCAGTGTATCACTGGAGCTCCGCCCCTCATTCATTCTCATTGGTTGGAGGACCCGCCATACACGCTCAGTCCTCCAGCCGCGCCCCCTGTTTCCCATTGGCCAGGAGCTGCTGTCCATCAGTAGTGTCCCTTGCGAGCTGGAGCAGTGCCGGCCCAGCGGTTTGCAGTTAGACGGCTGCATTGTGCAGTTACCTGGGGAGGGCCCATCGCAGGAACCGGGAGGGAACGATCGAGCCAGTGGGTGGGTTGCCTGGATTCGAACACACACGGAGACGAGAAGCCAGTGAATGTCGAATGAAACCTACCTTTAGGGCGTTTAGTCCGGCAGCAGTTTCTCAGAATGCTGCTCTCCCAGGACCCGAGTTAACGGCCGCCATCTTCACAGAAGCTGGACCACAACAAGGCGCATGCGCAACTCTCGTGAGGCTTGTCGGCGACACTCATTCACTCCCATTGGTTGGTGGACCAGCGCCGCCCCTCATTCACTCAGTTCTAAAGAAGGGTCACCGGACCCGAAACATTAACTCTGATTTTTGTCTTCGCAGTTGCTGCCAGACCAGCTGAGGTTTTCCAACAACTTCTGTTTTTGTTCCTCATTCACTCTCATTGGCTTGCAGACACCCGTGGGTGAAGAGCAATGGAGCGGGCGTGGGAGAGGGGAGGTTTGATCTGACCTGAATTGATTTATTATTGTCACTTGGACCGAGATACAGTGAAAAGTATTGTTTTTTTGTTGCTACAAAACCAGTCCAGCTCGTCCCTGCCTCCCTAACCTGTCCTTCCTCCCACCTATCCCCTCCTCCCACCTCAAGCCGCACCTCCATCTCCTACCGACCAACCTCATTCCGCCCCCTTGACCTGTCCGTCCTCCCTGGACTGACCTATCCCCTTCCTAACTCCCTACCTACACTCACCTTTACTGGCTCCATCCCCGCCTCTTCGACCTGTTTGTTTCCTCTCCTCTATCCCTCTTCTATCCGCCTCCCACTCTCTTCCTATTTATTTCGGAACCCCCTTCCCCTCCCCCTTTTCTGATGAAGGGTCTAGGCCCGAAACTTCAGCCCCTCTGCTCCTATGATGCTGCTTGGCCTGCTGTGTTCATCCAGCCCTGCACCTTGTTGTCCCTTACATAAGTTCATCAGGATAATAGAACAGTGTTAACAGCTACAGAGAGGTGCAGAGAAAGATCAACACCAATATGTGAGAGGCCTGTTCATAACTCTGATAACAGCAGAGAAGAAGCTGTTCTTGAATCTATCAGTATGTGTTTTCAAACATTTGTATCTTCTGCCCAATGGAAGAGGGTGGAAGAGAGTATAACCGGAGTGGGAGAAGTCTGTGATTATGTTGGCTGCATTCCTGAGGCAGCAGAAATGTAGGCGGAGTCAGTGAAAGGAAGGTTGGTTTTCATGATGGACTGGGCTGCGTTCACAGCTCGGAAATCCCTGAAGTAGGTCTCAGACCCTGGATGAGAAGCTTGCAGTCCCCAGTTACACTGATTCTGCTTTACACCATAATTAAATACAGGATTTATGTGGTGCAATGGGAAGAGATGCACTTTGCCACAATTTTGTGTGGGGGCGATGGGCAGAGGGGTGCCTGTTCCACAAGTTGAGCAATGTGTGTAGTTCTGGTCACCTCATTTTACAGAAAAGATGGAATTGAACCAGAGAACGTGCAGAGGAGATTGATGAGGCTGTGTACCAGGAGCTGGGACAAATGCAACCATGTGAAAAGATTATGTTAACTGTGCGTTCTCCTTGGAATAGAGAAGGCCAAAGGAAAAATTAATTGAAGTATACAAAATTGAGAGAGTCCTCAATACAGTGGAAGGAGCCACTTACACCAACAGAGAATCCAGTGATAATAGGGCATGGATTTAAAATGATTGGTAGAAAGATTAAATGGAAGATTAGGAAAAGTGTTTTCCCCAACAGGATGAGTGGGGTCTGGACCCACTGCCAGAAGCAAGAGAAGATGCAAAAAGACTCAATTAATTTGTAATGTGTCTGAATTGGCAGAGCCAATTGGTGCAAAGTGGGCTAGGGCTGGATGACTTATTTTCTCAGCCGGCGCAGACACAGTGGCCCAAGTGGCCACTTTCTATGTCTTGATCTTTTTATGATTCTGTGAAGCAAAGCCAAAGTATGAAAAATGTTCATCTCTTCTGCTTTTCTAACCTGGGCTGATGGTGAGGATTTTTGTAACCTCCTTTGCAGGACATGGCAACGGTTCTTTTTGCGAAAAAAAGCATCACAACACAATCTGACGGTGACACTTGATTAATCAGGATGTGGATGTTATCTGCCTTTGATTGTATGTGTTGTTCTCCAGGTCTTTGTTATTCACAGTTCATACTACTTAGCTTCCCAATCCCTGTATCACTTGCTGAAAATGTTAAATTTGCATCTTGTAATCCATTTACTGTCTGCTAACAAGAACAGCATTTCTTTATTTTATCTAACTGTCTTTAATGCACACACCTCAAAGCCTCAAACTAAAAGCCTCAAAGCCTCCACTAGAAACCTTCCTCCAGTTCAAAAGACAACTGTTAATGATGACTCTGTTCCCTGTTACTCAGCCAATTTCAGACCCATGTTGTTAGATTTAGGTTTTGCTCACTGGGCTGTTACGGAGATTTTATCTAGTACTTTTTTTCCCAGTCCATGTTCATCCTATCAATTGGATTATCATCACCAACACTCTTCATCAAAAACTCAAGAGAAAGTTCATCACAATTTTCTGTGAACAATTCTATTTTAGCTTTCTTAAATGAACCCATATTTCTTTAAGTGGTTTCTCATTTTGCCTGGTATGACCATTTCTAACACTTTTCAAAGCTTAAACTGACTGTCCTGTCAGTGCTGAATTAACTGACACAAGTTTCATGTGGCAAAACAAAAAGGAGTAGTAATGGGGATGTAAAGCCAATGAGATGTGTCTGGGTGAGGTGTGATAATGACATTTAGATACCATAAATACAAAGTAAAGACAACCAGGTTGTGTTGGTGTTGACCTCTATCACACTTTCAGAAGCTGCCAGACCTGCTGAGTATTTCCAGCATTTTCAGTTTTTATATCAGATTTCCAGCATTTCACTTCTGTACTTGTTTTTAGTTCTTAGGACTGAAGGGAACAAATGGTGTGGGGAGAAAACAAGAACAGTTGCCTCATTCAGTCATGTATCTCCCAACCCTGCATTTCCTTTTCAAGGTCTGTACAAACACTGATTGGCTTTAATATTGCATTTTAATGATAATCCAAGAGTTTGAGGTTGTAGACTTGCTCACCGAGCTGGTGTGTTTGATTGCAGACGTTTCGTCACCCTGCTAGGTAGCATCATCAGCGCGCTTCCGGTGAAGTGTTGGTGTTCTGTCCCACTTGTTATTTATATGCCTTGGTTTGCTGGGGTGGTTGACATCACTTCCAGTACTGTTTTTCAGTGGTTTGTATTATCAGGTCCCATTCAATGTGTTTGTTGATGGAGTTCTGGTTGGAATGCCAGGCCTCCAGGAATTCCCTGGCATGTCTCCGTTTGGCTTGTGCTATTATGGATGTGTTGTCCCAGTCAAATTTGTGTCCTTCTTTGTCCGTGTGTCTTGAGAACAGTGAGAATTGGTCATGTCTCTTGGTGGCTAGTTGATGTTCGTGTATCCTTATTGTCAGTTTTCTTCCAGTTTGGCCTAAGTAATGTTTCTCACAGTCCTTGCATGGTATTTTCTATATTACATTAGTTTTATTGGTTGTGTGTGGAATCTTTTATGTTTGTCAGTAGCTGTTGCAGGGTGGTGGTTGGTTTGTGGGCTACCCTGATTCCTAGGGGTCTGAGTAGTCTTGTGGTCATCTCTGATATGTCTGTGATGTACGTTAGGGTGACTCGTGCTGTGTCTTCTTGTTGTGGTCTGTCGCAAAGGTAATGGCAGATTTTGTTTTTGGCTATCCATTCCTTTTAAAAACTCCATATAAGTGCTGCTGTTCTGTTTTGCACAATTCTGGGTTGCTGCAGTGTGTTGTGGCTCGTTTGATTAATATGCCAGGGAATTCCTGGAGGCGTGGCATTCCAACCAGAACACCATCAACAAACACACTGAACTGGACCCGATGTACAAACCACTGAGAATCAGAACCAGAAGTGATGCCAACCACCCTAGCAAACCGAGGCATACAAATAACAAGCGGGACAGAACGTCAATGTTTCACCAAGGCACACAGACAGTGTTATCTAGCAGGGTGATGAAACATCTGCAATCAAACACATCGGCTCGGCAAGCAAATCTACAACCTCATCCACAACTCGAGCTACAAATCTTCTCAAAATACTTTAATGCAAGAGTTTACATGGTAATGTTTCTCCCCAGGTATTGGCTCCACAAAGAATCAGATTAGTTTCTCTCAGTTTCACAATACGTGTGTGTTCTTCTGGTTTTCTCTCACTGTTTGTTTTTTTGTTTTCTGTTTGAAAGGTTGATTTGTAATTAGCGGAGTCATATGAAACCGTATCCAGCTCTGACGGGCATTCTGTTTATTGGAACTGAATTATCAAAGAATTTTGAACATGGAAGGAAAGAGTACATTCAACACTGGGGAGAAATACACCTACTCTGTGTGTGAAAGAGTCGGCCAGCATTTATCTGAAATGTCCAAACGCCAGTGCAGTCATACAGGAGAGATACTGTGGGAATGCGGGGGTTGCGGGAGGGGACTGTTTTACCCATCCCAGCTGGAAACTCACCAACACGGTAACACTGGAGAGAAGCCATTCACCTGCTCTGATTGTGGGAAGAGATTCAAACAGTCATCCGACCTTCTGACACACCAGCGAGTTCACACTGGAGAGAGACCATTCACATGCTCCATCTGTGGGAAAGGATTCACTCAATCATCCAATCTGCTCACACACCAGCGGGTTCACACTGGAGAGAGACCATTCACTTGCTCTGTGTGTGGGAAGGGATTCACTTCATCATCCACTCTCCGGATGCACCAGCAAGTTCACACTGGGGAGAAACTGTTCAGTTGCTCCCAGTGTGGGAAGAGATTCACTCTGTCATCCTCCCTGCGGAGACACCAGCGAATTCACACTGGGGAGAAACCATTCACTTGCTCTGTGTGTGGGATGGTATTCACTCTCACAACTGACCTGCTGAGACACCAGCGAGTTCACACTGGGGAGAAACCATTCACCTGCTCTGTGTGTGGGAAGGGATTCAGTCAGGCATCCAACCTGGTAATACACCAGCGAGTTCACACTGGAGAGAGACCATTCACTTGCTCTGATTGTGGGAAAGCATTCACTCAATCGTCCAACTTGCTGAGACACCAGCAAATTCACAAATAACCACAGTTGAAGGATTTTTTCTGTTGCTCACACCAAGGAATGAACAATGATCTTTTGCAGTTAAAATGTTAATAAAATTGTGTATCTGGAGTACATAGTTTTGTAAATGATCACAACATTGTTGTATATGCACACATTCACACTGGGTAGTGACTGTACTTCTGTGATTTGAAATAACACTAAAATTGTTGGAGAAAGTCAGCAGGTCTGGAATCCTCTGTGCAACACATTCTGAAGAAGAATAATTGGAATTGAAACATTAACTGTTTCTACACAATGCTACCAGACCTGCTGAGTTTCACCAGCACTTAGTTACAACAATAACATGATTCAAGAGAGATTTAAGAAAAATGAGAAAAAAATCAAATCCTGGAAAACTGAAAAGAACAAACATGGGGATAGGTCCCACATAATTAGAAAGTGATAAATTAATGGAGACAGTTTCAGACGAGACTCCTTCAGCATGAACACTTTCTAGCACCAATGTTATGGAGGTGGTTATTTAAAAAATGTAAGTTAATTTGTCAAACTGCCCTAATGGTCACACTCTTGGTGAAGTATAATTTCTAGCTCAACTTGGATTGCCGAACACTGTTTTATGTTTACCAATGCAAAGGAAACTTAAACCTGCAGGATCACTTCCAGTCAGGAACAGATCACAGTTGTACACTAATCTCTCATTTGAAGCATATTTCTAGCCTTCATCGTTGTTCTTCCTCTGATACTTAACCCAGTCGTAAGTGAGATTCTGTTCATGTCTAGGAGCTCTGAGCCACAGAAGATGGTGGCTGAGACAAATTTCTTACACACTGCAGGATTACCTCACACCAGGGCTTTGCTGTCAGTAACGACAGAGTTGAAAGACCAAAGTGCCATTTGTCCCACACACTGTGGCCCTGAAGCATGTGACCAGGCTGCAGTTCCATTGTTGCCGTACGATCCTCCCCTGAGATTGTCCTGTCTGAGCTCCAGGTGATATTAAACACACAGGAGAGAAATACAACAATCTCCAGTGACATGTTGAAGCAAAGCGGATTTATTTGACACTTCTCCAGAATATTCAACTCCAGTCCAATTTAAGAGGTTATTAACATCAGAAAGAAATTCCAACGGTCAGAATAAAAACATCAGAAAATTATAGCACAGATCAAGGCCACTTGGCCCATCGTGTTTCAGTTGGCTGAAATAGAATTAACCAGGCTAATCCCATTCTGCTGATATCAGTCCATAGCCCTGTATGTTTCACATTTCAAGTATATCCATTTCTTTTAAAATATGACTAAGGGTTCTGCCTTGACCACCCATCAGACAGTGAGTTCCAGCTCCCCACCATCTCTGGATGAAATTATTTCTCACCTCCCCCTCTTTCTGTGAATTACCTTAAATCTAAAACTGCCAGTTACTAACCTCCCTCTAAATGAACAGTTCCTTCCTATCCAGTCTCTGGGCTCCTCATTATCTTATCATTTCAATTAAATCTCACCTTGGTGTCCTCTGTTCCACAGAAAACAACCCTAGCCCATCCAAACTTTCCTCCAAGCTGAAATTCTCCAATCCTGGAAACATCCTCATCAATCTCCTCTGTATCATCTCTGGTGTAATAACATCTATCCTGGAATATGGGGACTGAGTGCAGTGCTTTAGCTATGGGTCAAGTCTGTGTTCTTGTCAATCACAAACAGAGGGTGGCGTGTATATGGAATGAGGTGTCAGAGGTAGTGGTAGAGGCAGATACAATTACAATATTTAAAAAGACATTTGGACAAGTATGTGGATACGAAAGTTATAGAAGGATATGAGCCAAACACAGGCAAATGGGACCAGTTCAGTTTAGTAAAGCTGGTCAGCATGAGTGAGTGAGGCCAAACGGTCTGTTTCTGTGCTGTCATTCTCATTATCCTGGTTTTCCCAAATGGAACTGGATGTGTACTCCGTGGGTCTGGGATACCCTGCCTTGTGTTTACTTATGAACTAAATGAAAATAAATTTCAGGTTTAAATAAAAATTCTTCAGCTACTCTTCAATCAACTTCTTCTATTATACTAAAATCACCTTTAAAAGGAAGTTAACCAAAATGTTTTCCTTTATTATTATTTTTGAAACACTGCAGATTTTAAATTGCTGAAAAAAATTCAGGTATGTTCACTGTTACAATCGCTTGTAGGTTAGCTTTATCAGCTATACTCGATGCATTTAACACTGACTGTAATTATATGAATAAATTGACTTCGGTTTTAAGATAATTAATCAAGTCTGAATTTCTAATTGATTAATGTGACAACAAGAACTCCCCTCAGTACTCCAGCTATGCTCTAACTAGTGTTTTCTAAAGTTCCAACATTATCTCCATGCTCTTATATACACTAAGCTCGACCAAATACCTCACCGACCTCCCTTCTGCCTGTCCAGCCACCTTTGGGGAATCTGTGGATGTCACTCCTAGGTCTCGCTGTTCCTCGACACTTCACAGTATCCGACCAATTATTGTGCATTTTCTTTGCCCTGTTGGCCCTGTCTTCCCAGGTTCATTATCTGCAGAATGAATTCCATTGGCCTTGTTTCTGCCTGTTTGAGTAGTCCATTGACGTCATGCAGTCTGCAGTATATTCCTCATCAGCCACCACACAACCAACTTCTGTCATATCTACAGTTTTTTTCATCATGACCTCGACCTTGATGTATACCACACAACTGTAGAACCCCACTGGAAATGGGCAACCAGCAAGGTTCAGTCCTGGATGCAGTTAACAAAAGCAGTAACAGCAGAATCCAATTGCTGGTGTCTCAGGTGAAGTTGCTGGTGTCTCAGGAGGTTGTGTGACTGAGTGAATCCTTTCCCACACACTTTGCAGATGAACGGTCCCTCCCCAGAGTGAATTTGTTGGTGTTTCAGCAGACTCTGTTTACTTTTAAACCTCTTCTCGCAGTCAGAACATTGGAAAGGTCTCTCATCAGTGTGAACAAGTTGGTGTGTCGTGAGGTGAGATGATTGAGTGAATCTCTTGCCACACAGGGAGCAAGTGTATGGTCTCTCCCCGCTGTGAACTCGCTGGTGGATCAGAAGGTCAGATGAATCAACAAATTCCTGTTTGCAGGCAGCACAGGAGAATGGCCTCTCCCCAGTGTGAACGCGATGGTGTCTCAGCAGGTGGCATAATCGAGTGAATCCTTTCCCACAGACAGAGCAGGAGAATGGCCTCTCTCCACTGTGAGTGTATTGGTGTTTAAGAAGGTGCTTTCTGCATTTAAATTTCTTCTCACAGTCAGGACATCCAAAAGGTCTCTCATCAGTGTGAACAAATTGATGTGTCAGAAGGTAGGATGAACTAGTGAATCCCTTCCCACACACAGAGCAGATGAATGGTTTCTCACCAGTCAGAGTGCGTTGGTGATTTAGTAAATCCTTTTTACTTTTAAAGCTCTTCTCACAGTCAGAACATTTAAAAGGTCTCTCATCAGTGTGAACAAGTTGGTGTGTCAGGAGGTGGGATGACTGAGTGAATCCTTTCCCACACACTTTGCAGGTGAATGGTCTCTCCCCAGTGTGACTGCGTTGGTGTATCAATATATCCTTTCTGCTTTTAAAACTCTTCTCACAGTCAGAACATTTAAATGGTCTCTCATCAGAGTGAACCTGCTGGTGGGTCCGGAGGGTTGATAAAGCATTAAATCCCTGCCCACACACGGAGCAGGTGAATGGCTTCTCTCCTGTGTGAACATGCTGATGTGTGTAGAGACTGGATGACTGAGTGAATCCCTTCCCACACACAAAGCAGCTGAATGGCCTCTCCCCAGTATGACTGCGTTGATGAGTTTCCAACCCTGATGGGTAACTGAATCCCTTCCCACATTCCCTACATTTCCATGGTTTCTCCATGGTGTCAGTGTCCTTGTATCTTTCCAGGTTCAATGATTGATGGAAACTGATGTCCACAGACAGAATGCATGAATGGTCTCTCCCCGTTGTGGAAGGTGTAATTATTTTTCAGGCTGAGTAACCGGTTAATGCTCTTTCCACAGTCAGTGCAGTGGAATACACTCCCTTAATTGTGTCACTCGCTTATGCTTTTTCCAGTCTGTTCACTGGAATGTGGTCACTCAAGTCTGTGCGCCTTGGTGCTTTTGCAGTCACGATTGTGTGTAAAATATTTTCTTACAGGTGAGCATTTCTCCCTCCACGTTCAGAGGCTGATGATATTCAGATCCTAATGAACTGAATGACTCTATCAGATTTTGATATGATGACTTGTTTCAGCTTCTGGATGTAAACACGACCTTCTGAATACCCTGCAAAAACAGTTTAAAATGAAACACTTTGAATGTGAAATAAACAACCAGGCTATTCAGTCTAATTACTCTGCTGTTTTTCTGTTTTCCCTCCAATTTAATTCATCTCGCTCATCTGACTTTTTTTTTTCATCCCTTCTTCCTTTCAATCTTATCTAGTTTCCTTTGGAACATATCTCTGCTTTTTGCCTGTACTATTTGCTGTGAATTCCACATTTTAATCATTCTCCGTGTGAAGAAATTTCATGAGGAAAGACCTGGTCCAAAACATTCATCATTTAAACTGCTGTATTAGGTCACTGCTCAAGCCTTCCTTAAAGGCTCCAATCTGTTCAATCTTTCCCAAAGGCTGCATTACTTTATAAACCCCACCTATGTCAGTGTAGTATGGAGATTGGGAAGAAGCAAACATGTCTCTGGGTTGCAGTTTGCAGATCCTCCCCTCTGGAAAAGGAGTTTATAAAACCTATCTCTGTCAGTCCAGCTTTCCCCTACAGCTCATTGTCCCCGCTCTCTGCAAACCCGGGACTGGGATCTCCTTCACCGACCTTTGCGATCACACACCCTGTTCCCGGAGGGAGCCGCCCCGTTCGGCCACCGGCTGCATCGCTCCCTCCGCCCGGGCCCGAAATCACCGCCAATACTGCGCATGCTCCAGGCAATGCGCTGGCGCACGCGTCTCCTGTGATGTGAATAAGGGTTTTCAGCCCTGCCGTACATAATGGGTAATACCATCTCCATTGATAGATATTTCTAAAATGAAGATCAATATTTGTTTGGCTGTTACGTGTGGAGACTAGGACAGACGTTCAAATAATAAAACAAATAAGCAATTTGTAGAGAAATGTAACGAAATGAATCCTCGATTGTCTAATCACGAACCTAGGAGAATGTGAATTGATGGTGCATCCATACACACCTGAACCAGGAGCAATGAGAACAAAGTTCAACTTCTGCAGTCAACTTCTGCATTTACAGTGATCCATTGAATCACTGCTCACACACGGGACATTGAAACAGTTTGCCTGGTGTGAATGCACCGATAATCCACCAAATCCTGTAAACTTTCAATGTCTGTGTCTGTTTCAGATTTCCAGCATCAACAGTATTTTGCATTCATTTGAGTCTCCTCAGAATGGTTTCCGGGTTACACACCAGGGGAATACTGATCTCAGTGTATGGAAGTGGCAGTCTTCTGGATGTCGTGGATCATGCAAATAGATGATGCAACCAATCTCTGTGCTGGATGTGGTGCCTTCTCTTATTCTCAGTCTTCCTGACCTGACTGAAATGTTAAGCCAAAGTCAGCATTGAGCAATTTGAGGACTTCAAGCCAGCTCTCGATGGTAAAATGTAAAAGACTAGTCTCTTCAGATAAACTGCTTTGGATTTAAAGGGAACATTGTAGAATCTGCAGGCTCGGTCATTTTATTTGTTACTCTCAAAATTTATGACACAAAGCCACTTAGGCCCCTGTTGAGACAGAAAACTGCATGTTTGAATTGGTATCAATGTGGTTTGATGTTTTGGGTGTTACTTCTCATGTACAAATAGAGCACAGTGGCCATAGTTAACTGTGGTGCCAATCTTCTGCTTTGGAAAGAAAAATGCCACTTAAAAAAAATCTCATGACAAACAGTCTCAGTGATTCTGGGTACCAAAATATTCCATTTCATCTGGCAGAAACCAATTAAAATGAAGAAAACCTGTCAGTTGATTCAAATTAGGCTATTGTCAATTTTAAAAGTGGCACACTTACCAAGTTAACTTGAAGTAATATACGCCAACGAAAATAAAGAAAATACAAAGAAACAATTCATGTTAATACTTGAAATGAATAAAATGTCAATTGCTTTTTGCAAGATAAATTTGAGAAGCAAATAACTGATTAAATGTGTAAGAGGAGGTGAGTCAGGGTAAGAGATAGAATTAAAGGAAACAACACATCACTGAATGAGAATTGGATTAACATACCTTGGATCCAGTTCAATGAAATATAACAACCTGTTGTTGATGTTCATTCTAAAATGGAAGTATGGATAAGACTAATAAGTTGACAGGTCGCCATGACACACTTTGGAAAGTGTCTGATATTCGAGTCCCACTACTCCCTGGGTCATCACCAAATGTAAAGATTCGTTCAGAGTACTCAAAAGTCCCCAATTCACCTGTCTGGTGGACCCAGGTTAACAGAAATTAAAAAAAATGCTGAGCAGGTTTCCGTACTTCACAAGAACTGCTGTTTATTACAAATAAATCATTTCTAGCTACTGGCAAACAAACATACGAATTACCAACATGTAACTCTTATAGTCCAAACTCCGAACCCCTCCCACTTGTTAAACCTTACTCCCACCCCGCAAATACACACAGACAAACAAACATGAATGTTAAGGATGGAGAAAACAATACTAGAGAAGTACAGTTCAAATATCACCAGTCAGTATGAGTTGAGGAGGTGTCCTTTTTGCCTTCCAACAACTTCTGTTCTGCACATTTTTTTCAATTTTTCACAGAAGACACAAGGTGGTTGACACACTAATTGAAACTCTTGGTTATTAATAGAGGCAACATTTCACAACACCTGGTGGGAGATAATATCTAGCTATCTTCCTGACTTTGGTCACTTCACTGAAGACAGTGCGCAAGCAAGGGGACATTGTCGTTTCTGCAGTTTCAAGGTTTCTCTCTGTATTGTTCAGAACCACAGCATTCACCTACTTAGGTGCATCAGAGAATTGTGGCTAAACTGATGACTTCTGACTTCAAGTCGTCCAGATTGCAAGAACAAATCAGCAATCCGCACGCATACCCAGTGCCATGACCTCTCAGGTCTCTTCCCCACCGGTTGAATAAAACAACTGTGTTAACACAACTCACAATGCATTCCAGTAAGTTGTTTTTAGAAAGAGCAACAACTCCTTTCACAGTCCTTGGCCTAAAGCAATTTTCCCCATTTTGTTCCACAATCCAAAATAAAGAAAAACAAAAAGATATAGTTTTTACATAGGTTCTCCCAGAAATGTTTGTATCTTTGCCTATGAACTTTTAAAGTAAACTTGATTTGGTAATCTGGCTACTACTAAAGACACTGAGACCTTGGAGGAGCAGATAAAGGAAGATTTTTAGACAGACACCTGTGAGTGAGCCTGGGTAGTTAACTTAAGTAGAAATTCACCCTTTTCAAACTACTTACATTTTATATTTGCTGAAGTAAATTAACAAGGTGAAGAGAGCCATTTTAAGACTGATATTTAACTCAGGAAGGCATCCTGCAATTAATCAAATGTGTGAATTTGTCACCAGAAACACATGATTAAGTTGTCAGTGTCAGTTCATTAAATTGAAGAATTAATCATGAATCAGTGATTATGTTAAAAGACCAGGTCATACTTCAAACTCCATCTACCCATTTAAATTCCATGCTGCAGTTTCTGTCAGAGACAACGTGAGATCTGATAAGATGGTTTTGCAGTGAGTCCTCCGTGATCTTGACTAATTTATTTGGAATGGAAAGGTTATATAATAAACAGAATGTTTGTGCAGGATCAGAGAGGAGGGATGTATTGAACAGTCCCATTGCTTTCCTCAGTAGCACATTTACCAAAATAAAAGAAGTAATTTGAATCAATTCGTTAATGAAACTAACCCAGCCACCGAGTTACAATCAGCTCATTTCACCTGTGGTAATTGCTGCTGAGAGATTCAATTCTCAAAGATCCAGAAAGAGTATTGTGAGCCAAGTACCGGAAATTCCGGGGAAAAGTGATGGTGATAGTTTTGCATCCAAATGCTATTTGATACAGTGTCACACAAGAGACTTGTAAATAAAGTTCATGGAATAAAAGGGGCAGGACTAACATAGATACAAAATTGACTGAGTGATGGAAACAGAGAGTAATAGTCAATGGATTCTTTTTTTGGCTGGAATGTTTTCAGTGGAGATCCCCAAAAACTGTTTGTATACCTTTGCTTTTCCTGACATTTTTAAAATGATTTAGACCTCGATGTGCAGGGGATAACTTTGAATTTTGTGAATGATTCAAAACTTGGAAACAATGTAAACAGTAAGGAGAATGGTGTAGAACTTCCATAGGACATGGAAAAGTTGATTGAATGGGGGGATAGCTGGGCAGATTAAGTTCAATGCAGAGAAGAATGAGGTGATTTTTTTGGTATAAAGTACATGGAGAGACAGTTTAAAACAAAGTGCAGTACTCTACGGGGTGTACATGAGCAAAGAGACCTGGGCGCATGTGTGCATTTGTCATTAAAGGTGGCAGGACAGGTGGAGAGAGCAGTTAATAAAACACAGTGTCCTTGGATGTCTTAGGAGGGCACAGACTGCAAGAACAACGAGGTTATGATGAACTTACATAGATACCAGTTTGACCTCAGCTGAAATATTGTGTATGGTTCTGGATGCCACACCAGGAAGAATGTGATTACATTGGAGGGAGTGCAGAAGAGGTCTGTGAGAATTCTTTCAGGGATGAGAATCTTCAGTTATGAAGCTAAATTGTAGAATTTGGGAAGTTTTCCTTGGAAAGAAGACTATGAGGACATTTGTCATAAATTCTGAAAATCAAGAATGTGTGTAGAGTAGATGGGAAGAAACTGGTCCTGATTGTAAAAGGGAACCAAACAGCACATTTTTAATGTGTTTTACAAAACAGGCAAACAGAAGATATTTTCACACAGCAAGTAGTTAGGGTCTGGATAACACCACCTGGAAATATGGTGGAGGCAGGTTCTACTGACACATTCAAGAGGTGGTTAGCTGGTAATTGAGGAGAAACTAGGTGCAGCATTACAGGAGAACTGCACTAAGCATAATCCCTCAAAGAGCTAGTGCAGACATAATGGGTCAAATAGCTTCTTTCTGTGCCATACAATTACAGGTGGACTGTTATGAACATCAGCAGAAACAGATTGTGCTGAACTTGGTTCAGTCCTGGATGTGATTAACAGCAACCACCACAGTTACTCATAAACTCGCTGATGGTTCAGCAGGTTGGATGACCAAGTGAATCCATTCCCACACTCAGAGCAGCTGAATGGCTTCTCCCTCATGTGAGCTCGCTGGTGTCTCCTCAGTTTAGATGAGTGAGTGAACCTCTTCCCACACTCAGAACTGATGAATGGCCTCTCCCCAGTATGAATTCTCTGATGCTTACGGAGTTGAGGTGATTGTGTAAAGCCAGTCCCAGTGAGAGCACCTGAATGGTCTCTCATCAATGTGAACACATTGATGGCACATCAGTTCTTTCGAAATTTTAAAGCACTTTCCACGGTCTGGATATTTCAAAGGTCTTTCAGTAGTGTGAATTTGCTGGTGTGTCAGTAAGGCGGATGACTGAGTAAATCCCTTTCCACACACAGATCAGGTGAATAGCCTCTGCCCGGTGTGAATGTGTCGGGGGAGAATAAGGTCAGGTGATCTCCTGAACCCAACCCCCATTGTTGTGAATATATTGATGGAGCATCAGTTCCTGGGAACTTTTAAAACCCTTCTCACAATCAAGGCATTTATTAGGCCTCTCATCAGTGTGAATTTTGCTGGTGTCTCAGCAGGATGGAAAAACAATGAATCCCTTCCCACAAAGCAAACAGGAAAAAGGTCTCTCCCCTGTACGAATGCATTAGTGTGCCTGAAGATGAAAGGACTGAGTGAATTTCTATCCACACTCAGAGCAGGTGAATGGCTTCTCCCCAGTCTGAGTGTGTTGGTGCAGTGAGGGCAGAAGAGTGCCTGAACCTCTTTCCGCAGGAAGTGCAGCCAAACAGCTGCTCCACACCATGAACTCTTTGGTGCATCTGGAAGATAGACAACTGAGTGAAATCCTTCCCACACTTGGAGCACATGGATGGGTTCTCCTCACCGTGAACACACAGGTATGCCTGCAGGGTGATAAATGAGTGAATCCCTTCCCAAATTCATAGCAGGTGAATGGTTTTTCTCCGATGGGAGTGTATTTGTGCACAGTGAGGGTGGAAGAATACCTAAGCCTCTTTCCACCCAGGTCCCCAGAACATTACCTGGTTCATAGGATTAACAGTTCAATGATAATACCACTAGGTCATTGCCTCTCCTTGTATTTGGCCAATACATCACAGCTCACTTGCCAATTCATTCAATTTCCATTGCTCTGATTGGAGAACATTATTCCAGAATGAACTACTGTATGACACTATCAAACTTGATGAAAGATTCTACAATATTATGGTCACTATTTCCCAAAGGCTCCTGAACACCAAAAATAATTATATTATGTAAATAAAATGGGTAATTAAGACAGCCTGATTCAGAATTGATCCTCCAAAGTTCTGACTTAAAAATAAATCTTGTACACACCTGTGATCATGCCACGACTTTAAGATATGTTTTTTCTCCAGTTTATTTTAGAGGGGGACTGGGGGACGGGTTCCAAACAATATTTGAGAGGATAACCAACTTGTGAGGCCTTGGGGTGTTTTTCTTTTTAAATTGGAACAATAGATTCAGTCTGAGTGTATGTGGTCAAGCTCTCACAGAACCAGGATTTTAATTTTGGCAGTTACTGCTGTGGTCTTAGCAGGATTGGAAGGTAGTGAATCACTCCCACATGCTACACTCTCTCTCTGAATTTTCCCTCAAAATTGTCCTTTGATGTTCCTTCCTCCATTAGAGAATGATATATGAAACAATCTGTTTTTCTGAATTTGCCTTGTTCCAAGGGTGAGGTTATGGGATGTTACTAAATTGGAAGTTAATTAATAGATAGTAATGATTACTATTCAGTTAAGTTTTCCAATAGAGTTATTATTCCAAGTTCTTCTTTATTCTGTTGTAGTTTAAGTAGAGGGTTTGAATAAAATGTGTGTTGCTTAACATCGCATAGTTTGACCACAAATTTTATTTGGAACACATTTCAGAGGTGACTGCGAGGTGCTGAGAAAAAGTTAGGGTCTAAACTATCTTCTTAATATATTTTGAGGGGGTCTACTCTGGCCTGTAATATTACAGAAAGAAAAAAAAAAAAAAATCCTTCATAACATTTGTAATGATTAGATTCACCCACTCTACATGGAAATAGAAATCACCCATTATTACCGCCTGCATTTAACAAAGTCCATATATTTGTCGTTCCCCAAAGTGCTATAACATAAAGCAGGGCTACGATTTTTCAACATCTGGATATAATTTACAGAAAAATACAGCTCCTGAAATCTCATGAACACACTGCTGTCTCCACAGGTATGCATGGCCTATCCCCAGTGTGAACTCACTGGTGTAAAGTCAGTTGAGATGATTGCCTGAATCCAGTCCCACAGTGAGAGCACCTGACAGTCTCTCATCGGTGTGAATATGTTGATGGTACATCAGTTCCCCAGAGCTTTTCAAGCACTTCCCACAGTCTGGGCATGTAAAAGATCGCTCAGAGTGAACCCGCTGATGGCGAAACAGGTCCCCAGAACGTTTAAAGCACTTCCCACAGTCTTGGCATTCAAAAGGCCTCTGATCAGAGTGAACACGTTGATGGCGTATCAGGTCCCAAGAACTTTTAAAGCACTTCCCACAGTCTGGACATTTAAAAGGTCTTTCCCCTGTGTGAACACGCTGGTGTGTCTTGAGGTGAATTTTCCGAGTGAATCCCTTCCCACACTGGGAGCAGGTGAAAGGTCTCTCTCCGGTGTGAGTGCGTTGGTGTGCACGGAGTTGTGATGACCATATGAACCTGGACCCACAGACAGCGCAGCTATATGGTCTATTGTCAGTGTGAACACGTTGGTGTGACTTCAGCTCCCCAGAGCTTTTATAACACTTCCCACACTCTGGACATTTAAATGGTCTCTCCTCAGTATGAACTCTCTGGTGTGCCTTGAGGTGGGAAGGGTCAATGCATCCCTGCCCACATTCAGAGCAGATAAATGGCCTCTCCCCAGTGTGGAGACGCCGGTGTCTAGTGAGTTGAGATGATCGCCTAAACCCAGTCCCACAATAAGAGCACCTGAATGGTCTCTCATCAGTGTGAATACGTTGATGGAGCATCAGTTGTGTGGAACTTTTAAAGCACTTCTCACAATCTGAACATTTAAAAGGTCTCTCCTCGGTGTGCACACGTTGATGGGACTGCAATCGACTGGAACTTTTAAAGCACTTCCTGCAGTTTGGGCATTTAAAAGGTCTCTCCTCAGTGTGAGTCTGCTGGTGTGCCTTGAGGTCATGTGACCGAGTAAATCCAATTCCACATTCAGAGCAGGTGAACGGTTTCTCCCCAGTATGAATGCGTTGGTGCACAGTGAGTTGGGATGACCACTTGAAGCCAGCCCCACAGTCAGAACATCTGAACCACCTTTCCTCAGTGTGAACTCGTTGATGGGACATCAGCTCACTGGAACTTTTAAAGGAATTCCCACATTCTGTACATTTAAAAGGTCTCTTCTCAGTGTGAACCTGCTGGTGTGCCTTGAGGTGGGATGATTGAGTGAATCGAGTGCCACATTCAGAGCAGGAGAATGGCTTCTCCCCAGTGTGAATGCGTTGGTGCACAGTCAGTTGAGATGACCACTTGAAGCCAGCCCCACAGTCAGAACATCTGAACCGTCTCTCCTCAGTGTGAACACGCTGATGGGACATCAGGTTACTGGAACTTTTAAAGCACTTCCCACAGTGGGGACATTTAAAAGGTCTCTCCTCAGTATGAAGTTGCTCGTGTGTGCACAGTGTAGATAACTGAGTGAATCCTTTTCCACACAGAGAGCAGGTGAACAGCCTCTCCCCAGTGTGAATACCTTTGTGAATTTTCAGCCCAGAGCAATGGCTAAATCCTTTCTCACAGTTGCCAGATTTCAATAATTTCTCCCCAGTGTTACTGCATTTGTGCTTCTTGAGGCTAGCTAATTGGCTGAAGCCTTTTTTACACACAGAACATGTGTATCTGTTCTCCCCACTGCGAAATGTGCTTTCTCCTTCCATGGTTAAAAGCTGTTGGTAACTGGTTGTGATAAATTGGGTGACTCCATCAGATCATGATGTGATGTTTGATTTCAGTTTCATGACTGCGTACCATCCTCTTTGCTTAACCTGTGAAATTAATTTAAAACAGAAGAAAGGAATGAGCAAGAAGCCACAAAAACATAAAGGCAGGTTGTAAAATTGTACCGAGTGAATCTGGCAATTTGCTGGGCCAGCTCTTGGGAAAAGTGACAATGAAAGCTGCTGGATTGCCATAGAAGTTCAACTGGGGCTAAAACTAATGTCAAGCAAGGAAGGGACCTGCATCCTGGTCTGGGCTTACACAGGACTATTTATTTAGTGACTTAGACTCCCTACAATGTGAAAACAGGCCCTTCGGCCCAACAAGTCCACACCAACTCTCACAGCATCCCACCCAGACCCATCCCCCTATAATCCACCTAATCTACACATCCCTGAACACTATGAGTAATTTAGCATGGCCAGTCCAATCCATGGGACCTGCATGGAGCAGAGTGACAAAGAAAAGAAGGAGACATAGGGAAGTAATCGAGGGATTTTATACTCTGCAACTTGTCCAGAATTTTGACAGGACATTAAAAAGGCATCTGGATGGGTACATGAATAGGAAGGGTTTAAAGGGACATGGGCCAAATGCTGGCAAATGGGACTAGATTTACATAGGATATCTAGTCAACATGGATGAGTTGGACTAAAGGACCTGTTTCCATGCTGTATATCTCTATGACACTATTAAGTGTCTAAGTCCTGCCCTGATTTGCCCGAACAAATTGCAGCACCACACTTTTGTCTAAATTACACTCCATCTGCCACTCCTCAGCCTGTGTGCTCACCCGATTAAGGTTTCATTCTACTGAGATAAACTTCTTTGCTGACAACTACACCACCAATTTTGTTGTCATCTGCAAATTTACTAACCATACCTCCTATATTCACATCCAAATCATTCTTACAATTCATAAAAAGCAGTGGACTGCACTGATGTTTGTGACACACCATTGGTCACAGGCCTCCAGTCCAAAAGGCAACCCTCCACCACCATTCTCTGTCACCCACCTACAAGCCAATTTTGTATCCCAATGGCTAGGTCTGCCTTTACTCCATGGTGGTGCTGCTGAGCCACTATAGGTGGTGAACATTGAAGACCCCACTCAGAGTACATTCTTCACACTTGTCACCCTAGTGGTCTTGCTGAACGACATTGAATAAGTTTCTACACATAAGGCTACTGTATAACAAGCATTTTGTGACACTGTATTAACATGGACAGAGGACTGACTAAATATTAGAAGACAGAGTTGGGGTAAAGGTATCCTTTTTCAATGGCAATCTATACTATGAGATGTCACGGATCAGTTTTCACATCACAATCATTTAAAAATAGACGTTCAGGACTTGGATAATGGAATGTATGTTGTGTTTCCAAGTCTGCACACGACTCAGAAATAAGGGTTAACTATTTTGCATTTATTCCTCTATCCAGCTACCTGCTCACAAGGTAAAATACGACTCCATCCTCAGTAAATTTAGACAATTAGCATAGATTCTTATTAAACAAAAACCTACATTGAATCAAAATCAACCTCACAGCTTAAATTTTTCCTGGTTAAATGACCATTTTCTAAGGCCAATTCATGTTGTCTCATTTCCCTGACTATTTAGAGTTTTTTTTTTCTTATTTCATCTCCTTTTCCATCAGTCTGTATTTCTTCCTCTCCTCATTATCCACCTCCTTGTTTTCCTTCTAACTTAATTTCTAGCTTTTCATTTTGAACTCTATCTTGGCTAATTTTAGCAATGACATCTCAATTTAAAGTTCCCTTTCTTCCAATTCTAAATATTGAATAATCACTTGAAGCATTCTTGCTTATAAAGACCTTGCTCTGATTTTGTACCTTCAATTTAGTAGCTACCTCTCTCAGGTTTATCCCTAGTTAAATACTTCAAAAGGTGTTATCTTCCAAAACTCTGGTCAATATTCAAAGTCATGTTCAATGCAACGCAACAAACTTCACAACACAATCGATTTCAGTCGGACGCTAAGTATCTCATGCTTTAAAAAAAGTGAGACACAGATTCCTTTAAAATTGTGTGTATTTAAAAGCTGCAAAGTCCCCAATTATGATTCAGCTGATGTTATTTCTGGACAAGTTCAAATCCCAACTTCTAAAGATTGAATGTGATGACTTATTATTTATAAACAAGCATACAATACTGCAAATTTGGTCTGAACAATGAACTAGAAGTCCATTACATAAAAGAAATGAAGGTTAAACAGAACAGAACAGCCTATTTCCGCGGTATGGCAGCTCAGCACTTAGCGCTACAGCCCCACAGCGCCACGATCCAGGTTCAATTCCACCCTTGGGTGACTGTCTGTGTGGAGTTTGTACATTCTCCCGGTATCTGAGAGAGTTTCCTTTGGGTGCTCCAGTGTCCTCCCACAGTCCAAGATGTGCTGGTGAGGTGGATTGACCATGTTATATACCCTATAGTGTCCAGAGATAAGTCATGAGAATGGCAGAGTTATAGGGTAGGGAGGTGGATCTGTGTGGGATGCTCTTTGGAGGGTCATGTGGACACGAATGGCCAAACAGCCTGCTTCCACATTGTAGAGATTCTCCGATTCTACTTGCATCTAACCAATTTTAAGCATTTCAAAAATACATGGCAAAACAAAATCCCATCCCTTTCCAACACCAATACTTTACAATATTCAAATACCAGAGAGTGCTCCATTTTAAATCTCACTTATTGATTTGATTTAACTATTTCTTTCAATTCCTGGTCTTGACACTTTCAACTTTATTAACTTCAAATAAACAACAGTTTTCTAACCAAGCACATCTTGGCAAGAGTTTTCCAACTGAAATCTTAAACCTAAGTTAATCTACTTTCCAAATGTTTTGAATCAACTCCTTCAACTTGGAGAAACTGTTCTCACATCCGACCTCAGCCAGCTATTGTGTGAACTGCTACAACCCAAAGCTTTCCAAATGATAGGGATTTCCGCCCCGATCGAAAAAAAACTCTTCTAAACCAAAAGTAAGCTCATTGGTTGTCTCCAATCATAAAAAAAAATATACAAATAAATTCATATTATTACTCCAGGAAGATTCCAGTCACCAGGACTCTGAGACATACAGATTCAAAATTATGACACCAGATATGCTGCGTTGGTTATTAAATCCCAAGTATTAACAGACCAAAGCATGTGTCGCTAGTTCAAAATCCAAACTTTAAAATAAATTACATATATATAAAGCACACCTTATAGTCAAGGAGTGTAAACAACAAACCTAGGGTAGGCAGTCCATGAACTTTTGCAGACCAGTTTGTGACAGCGACAAATGCACCATCATCAGTATAGGGCAGAGGAATTCTCTGATCAAAAGATGGGTTTTATTTTTGTCTTTGTTTTCAGTCTAGATTGATTACAGATCTCATTGCCTGACTTGGCTTACGGAGAAACTCCTTTGTATCATCAGGGAATGCCAAGGGCAAGCGAATGGAGAAGAATATGCCAAACCAAGTGGGGGTTCCGACACTGCCAATTTCACTTCATTCTTCATCCTGATCATATCAGATGTGATGCTGTCAATCTGTGCAATACATGGCATGAAAGGAGCAGTTGAGCCTGGAGATTTGTTGGACAAAACCTTTTTTGGTGATCTCCTTTGTCAAGTTTCCTTTGTAAATTGATGACTTTTGTGTTTTCCTTCTACAGGACATGTGCTTCTCTCTCCGAACACTATTTTTGAATTCAGGATCAAATTTGGTGCTTTTAAAAAGGGACACTGCAGTCCCAAAATCAGCCACAATTCCAGAGTACCAAACTCCAGCCAGTTATAAGTGTGTCAACCTCAGGAGAAACAAATGTAATATTGTTAGATTGTCAATCTTGGAAATGATCAACAACAGCAATAACAGCAGAATCCACTTCTTTCAGAGGACACGGAAATCGCTGGCTGAGCCACCATTAGCCAGCCTGGACAAGACAGTGGTAAGTTTTCTCCTTAAACTGCTGCAGTATACTGGTTATTGAGGTTCACTTTTGAACTCACTTAAGCATCACTAGGTTGAATGAGTGAGTGAATTCCTTCCCACACATGGAGCAAATGAATGGCCCCTCTCTGGTGTGAACTCATTGGTGAGCAAGGAGAGAGGATGAACACCTGAAACTCTTCCCACAGGAAGTACACCTGAATGGCTTCTCCTCTGTATGAATTGGCTGGTAAGACTCGAGTGCAGTTGATAGTGAATCCCTTTCCACACACAAAGCAAGTGAATGGTTTCTCCGCTGTGTAAATTTACTGGTGTGCAAGGGGGGTGGATGACTGCCAGAAACCTTTCCTACAGGAAGTACAACTGAACCACTTCTCCCCGGTGTGAACTCGCTGGTGTCTCAGCAAATTGGATGACTGAGTGAACCCCTGCCCACACACAGAGCAGGTGAATGGTTTCTCCCCAGTGTGAACTCGCAGGCGTATATTCAGGTTAGATGAAGACATGAACCTCTTTGCACAATAAGTGCAGCTGAACGGCCCATCCTGATGGACACCCCACCCTCATCGTGTAACATGAGGCAGGTAGTTTGTGTAAATCTCTTCCCACATTCTGACTAGATGAATGGTCTCTCCTCGTATGAATTCATTGGTGTGATTGGAGTTTGGTTGTCTGAGTAAATCCTTTCTCACACACAGACCAGGTGAATGGCTTCTCCCCAATGTGAAATCGGCAATGGATTTCAAGCTGGGATGGACAATTGAATCCTTCACCACAGTCCTCACATTTACACAGTCTCTCCATGGCAATGTCATCTTTGTATCTCTCAGGATGGGCAATCAGTTGAAGCCTTGACCGCACACAGATTGAGCACAGTATTTCCCCACTGCAAATGGTGTAATTTTTACTTTCCCCAATCTTATTGACTGGTTCAAATTCTTTCCACAGGAAATTCACTGGAATGCTCTCAGAACGTGTGACTGTGTAATGCTTTTTCCAGTCTGCTCACCGGAACACAATCACTGAGGTGTGTGAATATCTCTGGGTTCTTGTCACTCACACCAATGTTTGAAATCATTTCCCACAGACAGAACAAACATTTCTCCTTCCACATGCAGAGGTCAAATGTACTCAGATAATGATTGATTGATTGGTTGATCATGAGTCAACCAGACCTTGGCAAGAAATTTGCTTTGTGTTTAATATCTCCAAAGCCTTCTTTTCAAATATTCTGCAAAAGGAGTTTGCAAAAGTCATCACAGTCAATGCAGGGTAGAAATTCTGAAGTCAGTTCCAGATTCTAAGGAACATTACTTTCCTCTCCTGTTCCCCAAATCTGTAAATCCCAGTTCCACAGTCCCTCCCTTCCTCTTTGGACTGAAATCCAAACCCGTCTCCCTATCTTCTTCCTCGACTCCAAATTTTCTCCCTCCCTCTGGGTTCAGTTCACCAGGCTCCTGTCTGCAGACTACAAATCAAAGCAACGAGTTTGATTCGGGGTTTGGTGTCGCCTGTGGGTGTTCGTAAATGCACCCCTCCCACCTCTCCGGGTTTCCTTCCTGATCAGAGCCTCGTTGATTCACCCCACCCTCCCCTCCAGGCTCCAAAGTGAGACACGCCTTTCCTTCACCAAGATGGCGGTTGGTTGCCCAGTGACAATAACCGCCTCACCAAGATGGCGGTCAGTGGCTCCGCGCCCTCAGGCCTCCCCCAAGAGGTTATAAACTCCCCAGGCCCCCTCCTCCCGCGGTTAACATTCCTACCATGTCTCACAATCTCGTCCCCCAGAAGCAGGAGAGGAATCTTGTCACTCAGGCCTGGCGACCTTCCCGCCCAGGCGCCGGCTCCATTCCTTTCGCACAAACAGCAGCATCGACTCCCGTCCCGCTCGAGGTGACAAGGGTCCTGGCTGTTAGACGTCATTTCCGGGCCAAAAGGAAGTAGACGTGGCTGGAGGGCCGCGCTGGAACATGTGGTCGTCCAACCAATCGGAGACAATGAAGGGCGGTACGATGGTGTGGACCGCCCCCAGGAACCTGAATTGTGCCCATTTAACCCGTTGTTTCTAATGAGCCTGTTCAGAGATGCCAAACCTCTGGGGCAGACAGGACTAGTACCTGAGCTTCCCAGTCCAGGGTCAGCGACATTACCACTGCGCCCTCCCCGTGGGGAATTAAGAACAAAAACAAAGTTACTGAAAAAGCTCAGGTCTGGCAGCGTCTGTGACGGAAAAAAAAAGTTAACCTGACCGGTGACCCTTCCTCAGAACGGGGAATTAAACCCGTCTCCCGCTTATTCGGCGGGGATACTAACCACTAGGAGACAGTTAGGACTGCAGGTGCTGGAAGCTAGAGTCAATAAATGTAGAGCTGGAAAAGCACAGCAGATCAGACAGCATCCGAGGAGCAGGAAACCCTTCATCTATGCTATCGAGGTTCCTGACCAACACTGAGTCATTCTGCTGTCGACACTTGATGTTGCCCACATCGGACTCCAAACCTGTAGCAATGTGGTTGAATCTTAACTGCCCTCTCTGAGAACCTTACAACATTCTTCAAGAGTGGGGCCCAACTATGGAGTTCATTTTCATAAGGATATAACTGAAAAGCAGGGAGGTTCTGGTCAACTAGTTCAAAATTAGATTTGACTGGGATTATATACTCAGTCTCCATTACATCTTCATTTAGAGAATAGAAATAGATGCATTAGAGGTGTCACACTGATTAACAAGGATAAAACTAAAACTGACAGCATTTCACCTTGAGAAACGGCAGGGTGAGGGTGTTAAAGAAAGGTGAAAACTGAAGGGTGACCTGATGGAAGTCTTTAAGATGTTGAAGGGGGTTCAATAATCTAATGGCGATTCATAGGAAACCTTTTTGCCCAGCGAGTGGTGAGAATATGGAACTGCTCCCACAGTGTAGACGATGCCCTAGTGGTATTATCACTAGACTGTTAATGCAGAGACCCAGATAATGTTCTGGATTCAAATCCCACCATGGTAGATGGACGAATTTGAATTCAATTTTTAAAAAGTCTAGGATTAAGAGTCTAACGGTGACCATAAATCCATTGTCGATTGTTGGAAAATCCCATCTGTTCACTGATGTCTTTTAGAGGAGGAAACTGCCATTCTCACCTGGTCTGGCCTACGTGTGACTCCAGACCACAGCAATGTGGTTGACTCTTAATCCCCACCTCGAGGCAATAAATGCTGACTTGCTAGCGACACCCTTGTCCCACGAATGAATAAAGAATAAAGGCACAGCAAGCGTCTGAGGTGAACAGCAGGAATATATTTAAGGAGAAGCTGGATACATACCTGAGGGAAAAAGGAATAGATGGAGATGAAGAGGGGAGAGTGGAGGCTCATGTGGAGCATAAATACTGACATAATACTAAATGAACCAAGTGGCCAGGCCCTGTGCTGTAGAATGGATGGGACAGAGATGTGTTCATTTCTGATTTTGTAGTGAGAGGAAATACATTATTTACAGTCAAGGATGAAATAGTTATCCATCATCAGCTTTTGGGGATCATTTCAGCAGGAATGTGCAATCCCAGTCTCAAAGAGCATCAGCCTCACTGGAGGCAAAGTGGTGAGCGTGGCCAGTCCAGCAGAAAGAAATTCTCTGACTCTCCCACTTCACCGACTGTGATGTGATTTTTTTCCCTCATTTTTAAACAGAATCAATGTTTAGGTCAGCATTTATTGCCCATCCCAAATTGTCCTGCTTGTGAAGGTGCTGGTGATCTGCCTTCTGGGACGACAGGCCTTGTGGTGTAGGGTCACCCACAATGCTGTTAGACAGAAGAGTTCCAGGATTTTGACCTAGTGACAGTGAAGGAACAGCCAACATTATTCAAAGTGAGGATGGTGTGCAAGATGGACGGGAAGTTGCAGGTGGTGGTAGTCTCATTTAACTCCTGCCCTCGTTCTTCTACATTTTAGAGGATGAGCATGAATGTTGTTGCTAATTAACAGCAAATGCAACTCCTGTACTCACCTGTGAATTCGCTCATGTTTTCACAGATTTGATGACTGAGTGAACCGCTTTCTACACTCAGAACAGATGAATGGCTTCTCCCTTGTATGAACTGGTATTCCTTTTGGCCAGATAAATCCCTGATTTACTTCCCACACTTGGAGCATTTAAATGGTTTCTCCCCAGTGTGAATTCACTGGTAACTCAGCAAGTTTGATGACTGTGTGAATTCTTTTCCACAGTCAGAGCAGGTAAATGGCCTCTCCCCAGTGTGAACTCGCTGGTGTATCTACAGACTGGATAACTGAGTGAATTCTTTTCTACAGTCCAAGCAGGTAGATGGGCTCCCGCCAGAGTGAGCTCACTGCTGTCTCAACAGGGTGAAATATTCACTGAATTTCTTCCCACACTCAAAGCAGGCAAACAGCCTCTCTCCAGTGGCAGCATGCTGATGTTTGCACAGGGCAGACAAGTCAGAGAATCCCTTCCCACCTTCCTAGCTTCAAGGAAGTTCAACAATCAACTTAAGCCACACACACACACACACACACACACACAACAAATGGGTATTATGGCAGGTTATGTGACGATTGAAGCTGTTTCCACAGTCAGTTCACTGGAAGACTCTTAGTTGGGGGTGTGAATCTCACTGCTCTTCGAGTTAAATTGATGTTTTAAACCTTTGATGCAGACAGAACAAATTGACATTTCTCCATTTATGGTTATTTAAGTCCCAGTTAATTAAGTGCCTATGCTCACACGATGTTTGTTTTGAGATTTCTGTCTACAAATCTTCCCCTTCTAGCATCCTGTGAAAGTGATTCTAAAAGGTATAAGTACAGATGAGAAATTCAGAACAGACAATTCTCTGGAATACCTTTTTCCTCTCTCTTCCCCAAAATCTGTGAACCTCCTTCCCACCATGTCTCCCACCATTCTCACATGCTGACCCTAATATACATACCTCCCCATTCTTCTGAAGTGCTGCTCAACACATTCATGCTGGACAGACTCTGCCTCCTTCCTGGTTTCACTTATTACCTCTTCAGTTGCTACAAGTCAATAATTTAACCCTAGGATTTTATTTAAAAAGTAAGACAGAAGACAGTATTATGCTCACAAATGTTGAATAGAGGAGGAAGTTTCAGTTTGGGTGAAGTTCCATTTACATGGCTTGCTGCTGTGGAAAGGCTGCCAACACTATTAATGACCCATCACACTCCAATAATGATCTCCTACAACCTGTTCTATTAGGCAGAAGGTACAGAAGCCTGAACACATGCACAAGCAGGTTCAGGAACAGCATTTTCTTGGCTGTTATTAGACTGATGAATGGACTCGCGAGCCTCAAATCATGACGATCTTGCTCACATTGACGTCGCCTAGTGCATGCCCTGTGCAATGAAACCTGTATGTCTCTAAGTCATTTTGATCTGTATATCATTGGTTACTATGATCTACTTGTACTACTCATAAAACAAAGCTTTTCACTTTATTTCAGTATATGTGACAATATATCAATCAATCACTCAGCAGCAGCAGCTTTGCTGGGCAGCAATGAGCAGCTTCAGAAGGTCAAAAGACCGAAAGAACTGCCAATGCTGGAAATCAGAAATTGCTGTTAAATCTCAGCAGACCCGGCAGCATCTGTGGAGAGAAATCAGAGTTAATGTTTCAGATCCAGGATGCTTCTTCAAAAGCTCATTGTCCAGTGTCCACACTGAGGCAATAGGAAAGCCCTGATTGGCTGGAGAACAAGTGCGCTTCTAGTCCTCCACCATTTCCCACTGGTCAATGCATTGTGTTACGACAATTTGGAGGTGGAACTTGGATCCACATGGGTCTGGAGCTCCTTTGACCCCAAAGTGTGGAATGGTCAGCCAATACAAAATGTGGGTGCCAGAGGGCCCCAGCTCCTCCTCCTTCTACAAAGCTATTAACTTTTGCTATGGATACCCTCAAAATGTGTTACATTTATTCCTCCACCCCCTTTGTTCACAGCAAAGAAAGGACAATGTTCTAGCTCCATTCAGTTGCGAAGAATCATACCGAAATAAAACATTAACTCTTGTTTTTCTCTCCACAGATTCTGTCAGACCTCCTTGATAAAACAGGCTCTCCAATTGTAAAGAGACTAGTTGATCAAACGTAAGTCCTTCAATGAACTAATTTAAATAATTTCAGTTTATTTAAAACAAAAACAAACCTGTTCCCCAAAGACATGCTGGAAGAAGTCACAGGAGATATGAGTTGAATTGAAGTTTTGGCTCCTCACTCGAACCCTTGAACTGAAATGTTCTTCTGTCACCCAGAATGGACAGAGTCAGAATGAAAGACAATACCGGGCTAAATTACATTGAATATCTAGCACAGAATCAGACCATTCAGCCTATCCAATCCACATCAGTGTTCATTCTTCAACTGAACCTGTTGCCAGGATTCCTCTTTTAACTCCGAGTACACTTCTATTTTTTTCTGCAGGATCCCTGAATTGTCTCTGCATTATTCACTTCAATCACTCCCTGTGGTAGAAAATTCCACATTATGTTCATTCTCTGGTAAATTCCCTGCGATTTATCAATGACTGTCTTAGAATTACTTTTCCATCTATAACTGAAAATACACTCTGCTCCTAGCAAAGGCTTTCATTTTATTCTAATTTATTCATTCATAGGGTGTGGGTGCTGCTGGTTTGGCCAGCTTTTATTGCTAATCCCTAATTGCCCAGAGGGCAGTTCAGAGTCGACCAGATTGCTGTGTGTCTGGAGACACATGTAGGCCAGACCAGGTAAGGATAGCAGTTTCCTTCCCTAAAGGACATGAGTGAACTCGATGGTTTTTACTCCACAATCGACAATAGATTCATGGTCATCATTTAACCCTCGATTCCAGATTTTCTTTTTTTTTTTAAATTGAATTCAAATTCCACCATCTGCCATGGCTGGATTTGAACCCAGGTCCCCAGATCATTATCTGAGTCTCTGGAATGACAGTCCAGTGGTAATACCACTAGGCCATTGCGTTCCCATTATTTCCATATATCTCAGATTAAAATTGCAAAACAGGAAATATTTGTTCAAATGATGTGAAATCCTCAAGATCCATGGCTTTTCACAGACAAAAATAGACCTTGAGTGCTGTATGTCTGCAGGAAGTATTTGTGAGGGGGAGGGCAGTTTCTCTCAGTCTTAAGGTAGGAATTGTTCGATCTCAAGGGAATATAGGTATAATTAATGAGATTTAAGATTGTCATATTGTGTTTTACAAAGGCTCAGAGATGAATATTCTGAAATTGATGTTGTTTTAAGTGTCAGATATTGTAATGTAGCTTTAAGAGAAAAATAAAACTGGATTTCTGGTAGGGAGAGGTCAGAGCACCAGGTCACCCTATTTAGATGCAAACTATATTTAGCTGTTATTGGGGACACAAACCTGATTGACTCAAGGGAAGAGATGAGCATCAGATTGATGTGAAAGTCAAAAATTCACAGATGTAGGTTAGACTCGTATGAAATAAATCCATATATATCATTCGGGATTTGCCATAAAATAGCTGAAATAGAACTGGATCGGGAAAAACCAGCATGAGCGCAAAAATTAACAGTTGTTCACTGTCTTAAAAAAAAAGGGATAATGAAAAGTTTCTTTTGAAATAGAAATGCAGAGAGAGAAAAAGACAGCATGAGTAGTTGTACAGTGTACAGATCTAGCAATTCAGATAGATTAGAATGGTTTAGCTTTTCACGAAGACTGAAAAATTAATCTGAACCTGCAAAGGAATTGGTATATGTGTGCAAGTTCAGTCAAACATTGAAGAACATCTTGCTACCGAAAAACCAAGGATCAGAAAACAAAAAAAGAGAAGACTTCAAGAAATGATGGGATCCACAGAAATCATACCAACGTGAACTAGAATATTAAATATTAATCATTGTTGTAAAATAAGCCAGTTGGTTCACCTTCCAAATCAGTGATTGCTTTCTCCACCGGAATGGTTATTGTCAACAAGAACATTCTCACTCTGGGGTTTAGTGTTCAGTCCAAATCTGGTCATCACTTTCCGAGTCTGATTGGTTTCTGCTGCCTCGCTGTCTGTGGAGATTCTCATTGACCGACTCGCTTCACCTTTCTCCCTGAGCAGCAAGCTAGGTTATGATGATCCCAGGGCTGTGAAGATTTAAGGGGAAATATGAATACTCAGTAAGCATTGCAAAGATTTAGGCATCACATTCCAAAACAAACTTCACTGTATATAATTGATAAAAACAAAGTAAGCCCTCTGACACTAACCATTATCGTATATATCGATGTGTGCCTCGATTCCAGTTTTACTTTTATACCCCAAAAGTTCCCTCATTTCCAAAAAATCTTGAAGGTCCATTTGTTCTGTTTAGGGACTAACCGAGGGTTAGGCCACAGGCCTCTGGCACTTGCTTTCATCTCTCTGAAGTTTCTCAGTTTAGCACTTAGACTTATAGAATACTTTCGCTTGGAGAAGATTTGAACATCTGTGCTATCATAACCAACTGCAAAAAGCATTTGGTTTGCCTTAAAGACCAACAACTCAACCCTTCCATGGTTACAATCTTCCTCGATCACATTATCAAAATTCTTTTGCATGTTCAAGAGCAGGGTTTGATATTCTTGGTTGATCTGATCTTTAAATAAAGTGTAATCTGCCAGTTTTTTCTTGATCACATTCAGAAGGACATTTATTTCACTGTGAGTGCCATCAACACATTCGTCAATTTGGATTTTCATTTTTCTTTGTACTTGGAGCCTTCCACACAATTCATTGTGAGTTGTTCATTGCTGAACCGCTTACTGTTGTATTCTGTATTGTTTCAGCACTGGCAAACATGTGTAATTCAATGACAAAAACAGAAATTGCTGGAGAAACTCAGCAGGTCAGGCAGCATTTCTGGAGAAAGACCAGAGTTACCATTTCAAGTCCAGATCCATTCTGAAGAAGGGTCACTGGACTCAAAACATTCACTCTATTTTCTCTCCACAGCTGCTACCAGATTGGCTGAGTTTCTACTGCAATTTATGGTTTTGTTTCAGATTTCTAGAAACCACAGTTCATTTTTATTTTACATTTAATTCAATCTTAAGTGTTATGATCACTTTGTGCTCCCCAAGGCCTTTGTCTTGAAAATATTTAACTTGTGAATTGCAAGCGCTTTTGCTGCTTTGGTAGTGTCCATGACTGGAGTAGATACATCAGTATTTTTAGTTGAATCAGTTCTTTGCTCAGCTGGATTACAAATAGACAAGGAATGTTTACTCACAGACAAAGCTCCTGAATTATAGGACACCATCACACGTTGTGGGAACACAATACACCCCATTATGTCAATTCCAATGATTCAGCCACATCATTCATTTGTAATTTTGAAATAAAACCAAAAATAACACTCACTCATTTACCACAGCATCACCTAAATTCATTCTAAACAATGGGGTTTGCACACAATTACTAACAATGCACTGTATTAAAACAGGTAACTTCTTGAAGAAAAGTCAATCTTTTTCTATTAATAAGATCTGAGCTGAGCTAGTAGCTCTCAGGATCACAATCTTTCTCACCTCTATCAGAGAAAAAAACTGGTGTTACTTCCTTTTAAACATTAATCCACCAAAATCCCTGCTGTCTTTTTTGCCCCGATAGTGAATCCATTAGAAGGAACAGGTTGCTCACAACTTTAACTTTTTGGTACAACTTTCCCTGGAGAAACACCAGCCATTTTCACTGGATTACTTTTTAATCTCTGGCAATTTGCCTTTAAACATTCATCCCTAAGACAGTGAAAACACAATCAGTCCTTTTGACTCAATTCCATCTTCTGCACTACCTTTCTCAGCATTTCAATGAAAATCTGTTCTTTCACTTATTCTACTTTTTCCATGATAATATGATTTCTGTTCACCTCTTCCCCCCATGATTTCACTTTCCAGCTCCTGTGTCGGTTTGTTACTAATGGTTTGTGGCAATTGAGATATCTGTGAGAACTGAAGAAGGGTCACTGGATCTGAAACATTAACTCTGCTTTCTCTCCAGAGATGCTACCAGATTTACTGATTTTCTCCAGCAATTTCTGTTCCTGATTTCCAGCATCTGCAGTTCTTTGGTTTGTTGTTAACTATTGAACTGGCAACTTCCTGCCACAAAGCTCACTGCCCTCACTGAAGTCACCTCTCGGGGATTTTTTTCCCCTCGATCCAAGCTAGGGGAATTGCCCTGCTTTATTTCCCCTCAAAAACTCCACCAATCAAGCTACAGATTACCCAAGAGCAAATCTGCAACAGCCTGCCATGAGAAACCCAAAAGATGTTCACTAAAAGAACCTGGTCAGTCCCACAAGCCAAATCTCTGGCAACATGATGTGCTGTATGTGGTTCCCAACAGAAATGCAAGTTACATGCTACATACCTTCAAAGTAGTTACTGCATCAGTGATCCATGTGATCACACATAAAACAATTTTTGGAACAAAATACTCAAGAATCAACTCATTGGACAAAATTTGTGAAACTCTCTGACCCTTCCCTTTTAGTAAGTGTCAGAGTGAACATGGTTCAGTCCTGGATGTGATTAACAGCAGAATCCAACCCCTGTCATCACTTGTGAACTCGCTGGTGTCTCAGCAGGTTGGATGACTGAGTGAATCCCTTCCCACACTCAGAACAGGTGAATGGCTTCTCCCCAGTGTGAACTCGCTGGTGCATGCGCAGGCTGTATGAATCACGAAGCACCTTCCCACACTCGGGGCAGCTCAATGGCCTCTCCCTCCGGGTAACTCGCTGATGTCTCAGCAGATTGGATAAATGAGTAAATCTTTTCCCACATTCAGAACAGGTGAATGGCTTCTCCCCGGTGTGAACTCGCTGATGAATCTGCAGGTTGGAAGAATCAATGAATCCTCTCCCACATTCAGAGCAAGTGAATGGCCGCTCCCCAGTGTGAACGCGCTGATGTCTCAGCAAGTTGGATGACTGAGTGAATCCCTTCCCACACTCAGAGCAGGTGAATGGCATCTCCCCAGTGTGACAGCGTTGATGTGTTTCCAGTGCAGATGGGGTACAGAAGTCCTTCCCACAGTCCTCACATTTCCACGGTTTCATCATGGTGCAGCTGTCTTTGTATCCTGCCAGTTTCGATATTCAGTTCGAGTCTCATCAACAGGACGCATGTACAGTCTCTCCTCGCTGTTAATGATGCATAGTTTACTATGGCGGTTTAGCTGTTTAAAGCCCTTTCCACAGAATCTATGCCGGAATACGCTCACTCCGGTTCAGAGGTCATATTTCTTTCCTGGTCACAATGATGTTTCAAAACTTGTGAAGCATCAAAACTGTCAAACGTTTCTCCTTCTAGATTCACAGGCCAATGAATTTCAAGTCCCGAAGAATCAACTGACTGTGCAAAACAAAATCATAAAAGTCATAATCACTGTCAGTCTTGGATAGAAATACAGAACACACAATTCTAGTTTCTATCAAACATTCTTTCCTCTCTTGTTGCCCAAAAATCTCTCGTGTCCCAGTGCCTTGTCTCCCTTCTCACTCTGCTGTACATGATATGCAGTCTCTAAATTCACATTTGGGTGATTCATGCTGAGTGACAGACCCATATTTCCTATAAATGTGTAGATATTTGGTGGACTAAAATAGGTAATGTATAAAGCTGTAATGAATTATGGGAGATACAAGAGAAATGTGAAAAATAACTTTATTTGGATAGGAAGCAACTATGACCTGGACCGGTCTTTTTTTTTTAAATACTGTATTGTATTACAAGACTAGAAACAATGATAATGGCACTTTGTTTATAGATCTATAAACAAAATGTTGAATATCAATCATGTAATAACACAAGAAATATCTTTATTTATGCTCTCCTTAAATATCAGCTTTTCCCTGAGTAAATCATTCTTTTAATTGTGAATATTAAGGAGCCATTCCTTTTAGCCAGACAAGAAAATGTGTCAAACTGAGAGAGCAAAAAGATGTCAGTGTCTGTAAGACAGACAGGAATAGGAACCAAGCTTTCCAAAATCTGCACGTTCCTGGATTCACTTTCTTTCCCCTCGGTTGCTGCCAGTGAACAGTTTTCCCCTTCCCTCCAAAGATGGTGCATAAAGGAGGCAGTTTCAGCCTGAAGTTCATTGTTTTCCAGTCACATTGCTGTCTGGAGCAGACAGAATGGTTAATTATTTCTCCTTTCAGATTCAAAGTTCAATGACATTCGTATCCAAAAGGTCAAGTGACTCTGTCAGATCTTCAGATCAAGCTTGTTCTGAGAGTTATGTCTGCAAATACTATCCTGCAGATCCTACAATACCCTGAAAAGGAATTTTACCTCAGTCATCGCTCGAAGTAAAGGCGATAGATTATTTCAAAATTCATTGGATAGGCCACTTGAAGGTAACAATCTTGCAAGGCTAGAGGGCTTTAGAGGGTGGATAGGACTAAGTGGTTCTAAAATTTACTGCCCCCTAAATCCTGACCATCTGTTTTCGCCAGGCAAACAAACGTGTGAAGCTGAGCAAATACAAACAATAGGTTTAAGGGAGACATATATACCTGAAACAACTTTTCCACAGTCTGTTCCTTCACTGGATTGACTTCCAGTACGTTGAATTGCTGTAAGTGAACGATTTTCTCCCTCTCACTCCCTCCCAGGATGAGAAAAGAAATGGAAAAGGGAAGACATTGCTTTGCTCCCAGATGTTGCAAAAAGGATGGAGTCTCATTGTAAGGCAAGATGGACGACTTCCGCATTGTGACGTTCACAATACGTTAGGGAGTTTACCTGAAGCAGCCAATAGAAACTGGGGAGCCCATGCATGACGTCATGGGGTTCCAGTCTGCCGGCTCGGCGCGCGGAGCCCCGCCCCCAGCCATTTTTCCCACACCTCCACCTGGAGCCAGGATTTCCAGTGCAACCGGCTGCCAGCTCAGGTAAGAGCCAGAAGCCGCTCGGGGACCTGCCCCGCCTCCTTTCTCCGGTTCCAGCTCTGGGTGAGGGGAAAGAGAGGTCATTTTACAAAAATTTCTTCCCTTTATTTCCCTTCACCTCTCTGAGCAGGGACACCGACAGTTTCCTCCTGGCCAATAGGAGGAAAGTAGGCGGGCTGGCGGACCACGCTGAGGTGGCTGGTCCTCCAATCAACGGGAGTGAATGAGGGGGGGCGGGGTAAGCAGGACGGCACGTGGTCACTAACGTCGCCGGCGCAGTGCCGCTGTGACTGGCGCCTGGGAGAGTGCAAAACGGGGAGACGGGAAAGGTGGGGATAAAATAGCGGAGACCGGAAAAAAATTGAGTTAATATGCACTGGAAGATTTTATATGTATCCAGTGTAAACCGATAAACCCGAGTTATAAACTCCTAGTCCCGCGTCTGCAGCAAACGCGAAAAGGCAGCGGGCGTCAGACGGTGATAGGAGCAACTGCAGATGCTGGAGAATCCGAGACAACAAGGTGCAGAGCTGGATGAACACAGCAGGCCAAGCAGCATCAGAGGAGCAGAAAGGCTGACGTTTCGGGCCTGGACCCTTCATCAGAAATGGGGGAGGGGAGGGGAGGGGAAGGGGGTTCTGAAATAAATAGGGAGAGAAGGGGAGGTGGATAGAAGATGGATGGAGGAGAGGAAACAAACAGGTCGAAGAGGCGGGGATGGAGCCAGTAAAGGTGAGTGTAGGTGGGGAGGTAGGGAGGGGATAGGTCAGTCCAGGGAGGACGGACAGGTGAAGGGGGCGGGATGAAGTTAGTAGGTAGGAGATGGGGGTGCGGCTTGAGATGGGAGGAAGAACAGGTTAGGGAGGCGGGAACGAGCTGGACTGGTTTTGGGATGCGGTAGGGGGAGGGGAGATTTTGAAGCTTGTGAAATCCCCACCTGCACATCTGCCAATGTGGTATACTGCATCTGCTGTACCCGTTGTGGCCTCCTCTACATCGGGGAAACCAAGCGGAGGCTCGGGGACCGCTTTGCAGAACACCTACGCTCGGTTCGCAATAAACAACTGCACCTCCCAGTCGCGAACCATTTCAATTCCCCCTCCCATTCCTCAGACGACATGAACATCTTGGGCCTCCTGCAGTGCCACAATGATGCCACCCGAAGGTTGCAGGAACAGCAACTCCTATTCCGCTTGGGAACCCTGCAGCCCAATGGTATCAATGTGGATTTCGCAAGCTTCAAAATCTCCCCTCCCCCTACCGCATCCCAAAACCAGTCCAGCTCATCCCCGCCTCCCTAACCTGTTCTTCCTCCCACCTATCCCCTCCTCCCACCTCAAGCTGCACCCCCATCTCCTACCTGCTAACCTCACCCCGCCCCCTTGACCTGTCCGTCCTCCCTGGACTGACCTGTCCCCTCCCTACCTCCCCACCTACACTCACCTTTACTGGCTCCATCCCCGCCTCTTCGACCTGTTTGTTTCCTCTCCTCTATCCATCTTCTATCCGCCTCCCCTTCTCTCCCTATTTATTTCAGAACCCCCTTCCCCTCCCCCATTTCTGATGAAGGGTCTAGGCCCGAAACGTCAGCCCTTCTGCTCCTATGATGCTGCTTAGCCTGCTGTGTTCATCCAGCTCTGCACTTTGTTGTCTCTGTAGACGGTGATAGCCACCGTGTTACTGCCGCCATCTTTATTGGGGGCATATGCAGCAGTGCGCATGAGCATCATTCCCCCAGTGGGGGCGGTATGATTTGAAGAGGAGTATTTACATCGCAAACTGAAACTAAGAGAAATGTTTGTCTTTTCTAGAAGTCTATCCTGGACTGACAGTGATTTTTCTTTTGTGAATTTGTTTTACAGGATGTTAATTGAGAAGAATTTGCAGACCGGGATGTCAAAACAACTTCTGACAATCAGCAGAGTCATCAGGATCTGAACATCATTGGCATTTAACTATGGAAGGAAAAAGGTTTGTCTGTTCTGTCTGTGGGAAAATACCTCTGATATATTTGTAAATCGAAAAGGAGCAATATTTTCAAATTCGTGGTTGGATCACCCCTTGGGGTATGTGTTCAGTTCTGGGTCCTGCAGCCGAGAGATGTTGGCCTGAGAGCAGCACAGATTTAACCAATTAACACCTCAGTTCTTTAAAAGAACTGTCAGATTTAGTCCCAATCACCCACTTAATGATTTTAACCTATATATTTCTCATTCTCAAATGCCTGCAAACTTCCCTTTAAAATTCCTTATGTACTTGAATTCAAGCACCTTTTCAAGTGGAACATTCCAGTTCCTGACAACTTTCTGTTGATCCTGAACTTGCTGAAGTTCATGTTGAGTCAGGCGGGGTATAACGTGCAGAATTGAAAGATGAACTGCATTGGAACAGTACGGGAGGTTGAGGTCAGAGTAAGTGTGAGTAGATAATTAAATTGATATGGCTGCACTGTGAGTGTCGCTTGACTCAATAAGAGTGCTTTGAATCAAAAAGTTATGAGCCATAGGGATAAGGTGAAACTGAAAGATTGAATGGTGCTTGGTCTCAGTTCAGAAAGTTACCAATGAAAGCAGCCAATTAGTAATTGATACCTGCAGAAATTTTCTTACAGTTTTAAAAGTATAATATGTAGCTTAAATACAAATATGAACTTTCGATTATGATAGAGTTTGAAATGAAGGAAGATCCCTAGCTGAATGAAATTGTCTTAAAGGGAGGAACTAGCTTAATGCAGAGAGAATTCGTGACAGGAGACCTTAGACTAGTGGTGTGCACCTCTTGCACAACATGAGAAATAAGGGATGCCTCCAGTATCACTGACAGCTTCACATGCAGGAGTTGTGTCCATCTGCAGCTACTGGTTAACCATATTTTGAGCTGGAACTGTTGGTGACTCACTGGGGAGCATCCTTGACACAGAATGTTATGGACAGCATGGTTAGAATAGATTAGATTGGAAGAGAATCCCTACAGTGTGGAAACAGGCCATTTGGCCCAACAAGTCCACAATAACCCTCCAAAAAGTACCCCACCCAGACTCTGCCCCCTACACTATCCCTGCAGCCCAGCAGTTCACATGGCTAATGCACCTAACCTTCACAACCCTGAACACTCTGGATGATTTAGCATAACCAATCCACCTAACTGGCACATCTTTGCACTGTGGACGGAAACCCATGCAGACTTGGGGGCGACATGCATACTCCACAAGCAGTTGTCAGAATGTGGAATTGAACCCGGGTCCCTGCTGTGAGGCAGCAGTGCTAACCACTGAGTCACTGTCGTCACGCTGTTTTTCAAGCTGGTTGTACCGCAGGTGAGAATCACATAGGCAGAAAGGGAATAGGTGACTACCAGACAAAGTAAAAGGGTCATGAAGGAAGTGAAGGAGTCTCCAGTGGTCATCCCCTCTCAAACAGATTTACTGCTTTTGGGTACTGTTTGGAGTAGTCTGGGATGGCTACTGGGGGAAATCTGCAAGAGCCAAGCTCATGGCACCACAGGTGGTCTGTGGCAGGAGAAAAACAAATGGTAAGGCTGTAGAGACAGGGGATTAAAAATGGTAAGTGCTACAGTCGGACATGAATACAGGATGGTATGTTGCCTCCCTGGTGCCAGAATAAAGTATGTCACGGAGCGGCTGCAGGACATTCTGGAGCTGGAGGGCAAACAGCCAGTGTTAATGGAACACATAGGTACCAACAACATAGCGAAACAAAGGGATAAGGGCCTGAAACCGGAATATAGGAAGACAGGAGATACATTTGAGGTCCTGTAGTTTAATGTAATAATGTTAGACTTACTTCCAGTGCCATGTGCTAGCAAGAACATGAATAAGAGGATAGATCACATGAATGTGCACTTGGAGAAATGGTGTCCCGGTGAAGGGTTTATGTTCTTAGGGCATTGGGACCGTTTCTGTGGGAGTTGGGACCCGTACAAGCCTGACTGTTCGGCCCTGGGTAGAGCTGGGACAAATTTGCTAGTTCCATTGGTGAGGTTTTAACTAGTATGGCAGGGGAATGGGAAGCAAGCCGTCGGCTTAGATGTGTCAAGTTCAGATCAGGAATTGGGAGGTAGAATATTAGTTCATGATGCACTCAGCAGCTCAGAAAGACAAGAGAAAGTAAGAGGATAGACTCTCTGTTCAGATATGAGTCCTGACATCCCAACAATCAGTCTGGTGAACCTTCGTTACACTATCTTGTAGCCTTGGATATAAAGTTGTTGAACACACTGTCCCCATCGTGTTCATGCTGGTCATCAAGCACCTATTTACTCTAATCCCATTTTCTGGCACTCAGCATGTAAACTGCATTGTGGTGCCTTGTATGATAATCTAAACAATTTTTCAAGGTTACAACGATTTCTGCATCTGTTACCATTTCCGATGCTGCCAGACCTGCTCTATGTCTCCAGGATTTTTTGATTTTTATTTCGGATTTCCACCATTTTACTTAAGCACTTAGTGTCATAGAGTTTTTCAGCATGGAAACAGACCGTTTGGTCCAACTTATCCATGCTGACCAGATATCCTAAACTGATCTAGTCCCACTTGGTAGCATTTGGCTCGTATCCCTCCAAACACTTCCTATTATGTACCCATCCAGATGCCTTTTAAATGTGTAATTGTACCCACCTCCACTACCTCCTCTGGTAGTTCTTTTTATACATGCAACATCCTCTGTGAAAAGATTGCCCTTCAGGTCCCTTTCAAATCTTGCTGGTCTCAGCATAAACCTACACATACTAGTTTTGAACTCCCTTAGCCTGGAATAAAAGACCTTGGCTTTCAACCTATCCGTGTCCCTCAAGATTTTACAAACCTCTATAAGTTCATTCCTCAGCCTTCAACACTCCAAGGAAAAGAAGCCTCTGCCTATTCAGCCTCTCCCTATAGCTCAACTCTCTGATCCGAGCAACAACTTGGTAAATTTTTTTTTTTTTTTGAACGATTTCAAGTTTAACAATGTCTTTCCTACAGCAGGGAGACCAGATCTGAATGCAGGCTTCCAGAGTTGGCCAAACCAATGGCTAATACAGCCACAACATGACCCCCCACCTCCTCTTGTCAATGCACTGACGAATAAAGGCACACATTCCAAATGCTGCCTTCATCACCCTGTCTACCTGCAACTCCTCTTTCAAGGAACTACGCACTTGTTCTTACCCTTCAATCCCTCCGAAGGGCTATGGGGAGAAAACAGGGAAAGGATTAAGTTGTAGATCTGTAAATTGCCTCTGCTTCATGCCTGCCTCTCCCATCTCTATCTCTTTCTGTAGTTTTGGGCAAACACCGCCTGGTTCCTTTCGCTGAAGGAGATTTATGAACCAGTTTGGTTTCGAAGATAATCCAGTGGTTTCCCTCAGTGTCATCTCCAAAACTGACCAGATTAATTGCTCTTTGTTTCACAACCTGTGTGTTCTTCTCATTTCTCCGAGTACATTTGTTTTCTGTTTGAAAGGTTGATTTGCAATTGGAGACTTCAAATGAAACCACATCCAGATCCAACAGTCACTCTGTTTACCATAACCTAATTATCTCAGAATTTTGAACATTGAAGGAGAAAGCACCATTCACACTGGGGTGAAACACATATCGTCTGTGTGTGGAAGAGTCTGTGAAGGTTCATCTGAAATGTCTAAACGCCAGCGCCGTCACACTGGGGAGAGAATGTGGAGATTGTGGGAAGGGATTTCTTTACCCATCCAAGCTGGAAATTCACCAACGCAGTCACACTGGGGAGAAACCGTTCACCTGCTCTGATTGTGGAATGGGATTCACTCACTCATCCAACCTGCGGATCCACCAGCGAGTTCACACTGGAGAGAGACCATTCACCCGCTCTCATTGTGGGAAGGGATTCACTCGGTCATCCAGCTTGCAGGTACACCAGCGAGTACACACTGGGGAGAAGACCATTCAGCTGCTCCATTTGTGGGAAGGGATTCACTCAGTTATCCAAACTGCTACTACACCAGCAGATTCACAGGAGAGAGAGACCATTCACCTGTTTTCAATGTGGGAAGGGATTTACTCGCTCATCTAATCTATTGGAACATCAATGTGCTCACACTGGAGAGAAACCATTCACCTGCTCTGTTTATGGGAAAGGATTCACTCGGTCATCCAGCCTGCTCTTACACCAGCGAGTTCACGCTGGGGAGAGACCATTCACCTGCTCTGACTGTGGGAAAGGATTCACTCGGTCATTCAAACTGCTGGCACACCAGCGAGTTCACGCTGGAGAGAGGCTGTTCACCTGCTCTGATTGTGGGAATGGATTCACTTCGTCATCTAGCGTGCGGATACACAAGTGAATTCACACTGGGGAGAGACCATTCACCTGTTCTGCTTGTGGGAAAGGATTTACTCACTCATGCAAACTGCTGGAACACCAGTGAATTCAAACTGGGGAGAGACCTTTCACTTGTTCTAAATGTGGAAAAGGATTCAATCGCTCGTCTGGACTGCTGAAACACCAGCGTGTTCACACTGGGGAGTAACATTCACTCAGTTGACTCACCTGCTGATACACCAGCTTATTCTATGGAGAGACTGTTCAGTTGTTCTGTATGTGGGAAGGAATTTCAAACTGTTAGCACACCAGTGAAATGATACTGGGTGGATCCCATTCACCTGCTGTGTTTCTATAAAAGGCTTTGCTGTTTGCTAATACAGCAGCAAATTCCCAAAGAACTATGGGTGAAAGGTTTTGCTTTTACTCACACCAAGGAAGGAGCCATGATCATTGGTTTGTTTGTATTGATGTTGTTAAACCTTGCTCAGTTAAAGGTGCTGATACTGACGATAAAATGTTGATACAATTGTGCATATGTAGGATAGGTTTTGTGATTATTTTCAATGTGGCTGTACAACAACATTTATGCTGGGTAAGGACTGTCTACCTGTGTATTGTTTGTGAAGTGATTTTGAGGTTCATCGGGATTGTTGCTTAACCAATGAATTTCCAGTTACTCTCGGCATTGCATTTTGATGCTATCGTTATCCAAATCCAAACCATGCTTTTTGGCCTATTTCTGATAATGTTTGCAGACACCACAGGTTCAGTTACCTATTTGGAATAAAAGTAATACAAATGAGCTTTTTTTAAAACTAAGTTGCATTAAGTCTTTGTCTCATTCTCAATGCCTTAGAGATAAGATAATCAGTACCGTTCATGTGAGCAGTTGGGAGAAGGCACATCCAGAGTGAGCTATAGCCTGAAATGCTGCAAATGTAGTTACAAGTGCTGTTGGGGGGTGTGCAACTTAACTTGGCAAGGGGGTGGGATCCAGAGGGAATGTCCAAAAGGGTAAGAAGAAAAGAGAAGAATCAACAAGTGAGTCAGAACGGCCTTGATATTACAGGCCAGTTCAGGTACAAGGGAGTTTGACATGATTGAATTGCATTGATTTTAATGCTGTGAGTGTGACGAACAAGGCGGATGAGTTGAGGATACAAATTTAAACATGGGGATGATGACATGCTGTCACGGAGACATGGTTGAGAGAGAGGCAGGGTTGGAAGCTCAATACTCCAGGATGCAAGGTCTTCATGCAAGACTGTGAAGGAAGCAACAGAAGAGGAGGTGTCACAATTATGTTTGGGGAATTTATCACAACAATTAGGAGAGATGACATCTTCGAAAACTCCTTAAATAAACCTATATGGGTGGAACAAGTAGAGCTGGTAAAGTGGCAAATTTCAGGGAAGTGTAAAAGTAATGGGGTCATGACAGTGGGGTATGTCAATTTCCCCAACAATAACTGAGTCTCATAGTGTGAAAGGTTTCAAGGAAGTTTTTAAATAGATCCAGGACAGCTTTTGAAGCCTGTATGCAGAAGTTTCAACAAGGAAGAGGAGGTCCTGGACTAACTTTAGGTAACAAAGGCGGACAAGTTGTTGAAGTATCAGTAGCAGAGGATTTTGCAGACAGTTATCAGAACTCTTCTAAAAAGATTCAGGATTGTTCTAGAAAAAGACAAGGATGGGCCTCAAACAGAAGTTCTAAATCTGTTGATTTTAATAAGACTGGATGTGATTTGGCCACAGTGTGCAGGGAGCAGATAATTTCAGGGAAATGTGCAAGAGGGAACTTAAATGGGGAGATAAGGAGAGCGCTCAGGGGAAAATGAATTCCAGGTAAAATAAAGGAAAATGCTCAGATGTTCTACAGGTACATTAATAGGTAGACGGTAACGGAGGAAGGAGTAAACAGTAATTCATGTGTGGAACTAGAGGACCTGATTCCAAATGAATATTGTGTCTGTGTTCATTAGTCAGAGATGATTCAGTGACAAGATCTGTGATGGAATTTCAAGAAATTAGCATAGAGAGAGAGGAGGTTTTGAGTCATCTGAGAGACAGAATTAACTTGCATTTGAGAGGCAGGGATTAATTAAGAACAGTCAGTGTGGCTTTGTGCAGTGTAGGTCATGTCTTATTAACTTGATCGAATTTTTCAAGGCAGTGATGAAGGTGATCAATTAGGGTAGAACAGTGGATGTTGTCTACATGGATTTTGGTAAGGCTTTCGACAAGGTCCGTTTCGGCAGGCTCATCTAGAATATTAAGATGCAGGGAATCCTTGGTGACTTGGCCACATGGATTCAGAATCAGCTCACCTATAGAAGGCGGAGGGTAGTGGTTTTTCTGGCTGGAGGTCCGTTACTAGTGGTGTTCCACAGGGTTCCGTACGGGGACCTCTGCTGTTTTGTGATTATATATAATAAATGACTTTGATGAAAATGTAGATGGGTGGGTTAGGAAGTTTGCAGATGATACAAAGATCGATGGACTTCTGGATAGTGTAGAAGGTTGTCAAAGGATACTGCGGGATAGCGACCAGTTGCAGAGACGGGTGGAGAAATGGCAGATGGAGTTTAATCTGTGTAAGAGTGAGGTGCTGCACTTTGGGAGATCAAATGTCAAGGAAATGCATGCAGTTAATGGCAGGATCCTGAGTAGCATTGATGTGCAGAGGGATCTTGGGTTTCAAGGATGTCAGCGTACATTCTACAAAACAGAATTACATGTGCAGCCATAAACTAGTATCTTGTTAATACAGAGAAGATCTCAGTCACACACAGGTGATACATGTTGTGGTGTCTCTCTCTTTCTCTCGAAATGGATCTCAATTCTTGAATCACATTCCTACATGGTAGACTAAAAGCCAAGGTTCTGATTGGCTGGCTGCCTGTCTATTTGTTGTGAAGACATCCAAAGACTGAAGAGATTATAATAATTTACACCCCACCCCAAAAAATACAAAAGATAACCTTCAGGAGATAATCCATAAATAAAAAAATAACAGCAGAAATGATATAATAGCTTCATTCCAAACAACGTCTTAATTTTTTTTAGTGTTTCTATTCTTAATGTCTCCATTATTCCTTGGACGCTCAGTAAGAATCATGGAATCTTACACGGCAAAAGTTCATTTGGCCCATCGTGCACCTGCTGGCTGTTTCAAGGCCACATATTTGGTTCCCTCAACTCACTCCACCCTGTAGCCTGCAAATTTTCCACCTTGTTTTTAACCAGTTTTCTTTTGTAAGTTATTGAACCTGCATCAATCATCCATCCCATGCAGTTCATTCCAGGTTCCACAACTTACTGAGTAGCCAATGAATCTCCCAGCACTCCTCCGGTTCCATTGCCAATTACAATAATTCTGTGCCCTCTGGTTACTGAGGCCTGACCAGAGCAAAACAGTGCAGGAAAAGGAAGAAATATTTCCAAAAGAATCATGAGGGGCATGGATAGGGCAGATAGACAAAATCTTTTCCCTGGGGTGGGGGAGTGCAAAACTAAGTTTAATCTGAGAGGGGAAACATTTAAAAGGGACCTAAGGGACAACTTTTTTACACTGAGGGTGGTGTGTGTTTAGAATGAGCTATCAGAGGAAGTGGTGGAAGATGGTTCAATCACAACATTTAAAAGGCACCTGGATGGGCACATGAATAGGAAGGGTTCAGAGAGACATGGGCCAAATGCTGGTCAATGGGACTAAATTTATTTAGGTATCTGATCGGCGTGGATAAGCTGGACCCAAGCTGTACATCTCTATGACTCTATGTTCAAGGGTTCTTATTTCTGACTGGAAGTCTGTGTCCAGTGGGATCCCACTGTTGAAGAAACAACTAGTCAGACGGTAATACACTGAATGACATCTTCTTTATTACTTGCATGCAAGGAGAGTCGACTGGTGGGTTGCTGACAACCTAGCAGGGAGAGTCTGATACAGGCAGTTACAGTGGCATTTTTATACATAAACCATACTTCCTCATTGTCTGATTACATTTTGATCATAAACCTCAGCAAGACAATAAACCAATCATCTTATGACATTTTATTAATATGTTATCTGTTCTATGCTTAGCTACAATCAGTCTAGATGTGGTTTTGCAGTTAAAGACATTCTGCTCCCTGTGTCTCTCCTGTTTTCGACTTATTGGAATGTTCTGTGGTTTTGCACTAACTCATCCTGTCCTGTTTGCCATTAACTCATCCTCTTCCAGTACCTTCTACTTCCTTATCATTAACCTTCCACAGCAGCATGGACTAGGAGTTAGCTAAAAGATAGGAAACAGAGGGTAGGTACATATGGGCATTTATCAGATCTCAGAGTTGAATGTGACGTTTGCCAGGGATCGGTGTTGGTACCCTTGGTTTTTTTTTCTGCTTTATAGAAACGATTTGGAGATGGGTTTTGAGGACAAAATCTCAAAATTGTGAGGAAGATGCTGGGTAACTTCAGTGGCATACTGACAAATTGACCAAATGGACAGACAGCTGGCAGATTAATTTCAATGCAGAGAAGTGTGAGACAATGCATTTTGGTAGAAGAAACACATAGATACATTACCGGCTCAATGTTACAACTTTGAGGTAAGTACAGGAGCAGAGGGACCTCGTTCATGATTCCTTGAAGGTTGCCAGGCAAGTTAACGCAACTATTAGGAAAGCTTATTGGATCCTTGGGTTTATAAATAGAAGCTCCGAGTACAAAAGTGAGGATGTAATGCTACGCGGCTACAAATCTTTGGTCAGAGCATATTTAGAGTATTGTGTTCAGTTCAGGGCACGTTCCTCAGAGAAGCATCTTAAAGCCCTTGTTTGAGTTCAAAGGAGAGTTACTAGAATGATACCAGGAATGAAGGATTTTAGA